CCAAAATAGCAGTTGCCCATTGTGGTCTGTGATGGTTCTTGTGTGCACACTCTACCTGCTTGGCATACCCCAAACACAACACATCACTCCAAACATGTAACAGATTTAGCTTCTGGGGCTTTTTCCATACATTTTTGGTATAGGAGCTAAATTGCCAGCTGAATGCTAAACCATGTTTGACTCCTCAGTGATAAGCCTGATGTGCCATCTCACATACTGTATGTGCCTTATATACTCCAAATTAGAGGAGTGGCTGCAAATGCAGATTTTGTAGGCATTTCATTGGCCCTTTTTAAAAAATAAAATTAGAGTAATTGGTTTAACAAGCCGCTTGTCTATAATCCGACATAACGTCTCTGTATCCTCGTTTAGGGAACAAAGTTTACATTTTATAACCAAGAGTTAAATTCAGAATTTTTAAGGAAATTAAACCATTTGAGGAAACTGATTGCCTTAAACCATTTATGATTAAAAAGCAAACATTCATGCATACTGTGAACTTTGTTTGAGCCCAGAAAGTATTAAATGAATTTATAATGCAAATCAAATGTACAAAAGAAAGTTAATTAACTCAATGTCAATAGATAAAACTAAATTTAGCTTCTTTAAATCAGTTAAATGTAATGTTTTGTGTAACTCATCCTTCATTAAGTGCAAGTTAAAGATGTACATCTGCATGTATTTAAGTACTCACCGACAAAACTATTGCTCTTTACAAAATTGTCCCCCATGACCTTATTCACTATTCCCTACATTAGTCTACTAATATAGTCCATTTTAAGGAGTGAATGAAAATAATAAATAATAATAAATAAATAAATAAATAATAAATAAATATAATAAATATTCATTCATTTTCTTGTCAGCTTAGTCCCTTTAACAATCCGGGGTCGCCACAGTGGAATGAACCGCCAACTTATCCAGCAAGTTTTTACGCAGCGGATGCCCTTCCAGCCGCAACCCATCTCTGGGAAACATCCACACACACACATTCACACACACTCATACACTACGGACAATTTAGCCTACCCAATTCACCTGTACTACATGTCTTTAGACTGTGGGGGAAACCAGAACACCCGGTGGAAACCTACGCGAATGCAGGGAGAACATGCAAACTCCACACAGAAACAGCAACTGATCCAACCAGGCTCGAACCTACGACCCAGCGATCTTCTTGCTGTGAGGCGAAAGCACTACCTACTGCGCCACTGCCTTGCCAATATAATAAATAAGTTATTTCAAATCTAGTGCTTCACTGCCTGATAAATCCCTCTGACATGTATTTTAAAAATCTTGAGCAGACCCCAAGTAATAAACCGTATTTGATTTATAAACTTTACATCAATAGGATTCCGCTGTGGAAACTCATTTGGTGTCGAAGTCTTGATGTGCATTATTGGTATTTTTGAGCTGTTGGGTATACATGTGTTGTACTGTACGAATGTTATTGTGGTGCATTATGGGATTGAGCACATTTCAAAACATCCACTATGGTTTTGGACACCACTACAAATGGCTGCTCTCTCAAATAGTGCAGTATTAGAGGGTATTGGGCAATTTTGAAAACAGCCTATTACTATGCAGTAGTGCACATTGACTTTTAAATAAACACTCTTAGTTCTTTATATGGTACTAATAGCAACACTTATTGGGAAAAACCCAGGAGTGCTACTGTGGTTTATTACAACACTTTTTATGACTTTAAGACTTTAAAAGTAAAATTACATTGTAATCAATGTCAATGAAGTTACCATGGTTCTTCGCCCAATAAAGGGGTAATGATTTGTCAGCCTAAACACAGGTTTTAATCTTCAACACAATGGTAACTTCAAAAACTCAGAGAGAGCAGAAACTAGGGATGGGCCGGTATAAGCTTTTGAGAGTATGATAATCTCGAATAAAAATAGGGGTTCACGGTGTCATGGTATTCTTATTACTGCTCTATAATGTTACAAGAAATTTTATTTTAAAAAAACATTCAATACATTTTGGAACAGTAAACATGTCAGACTAAATAATTAAAAGAAATCTTTGACTTCTGCTGACTTCATTACTTTCCAAAACACAGATTTCTTTAAAACTTGGCAAAGGCATCTTTGGATATATTTTGTTTCACTTAATTTCCTTTGGTTTAGTCCCTTATTTAATGTGGGTTACCACAGCAGAATGAACCGCCGACTATTCTGGCATATGTTTTATACAGTAGATGCCCTTCCAGTCACAACCCAGTACTGGGAAACTACTTGTTTTACTCAATTCACCTTAAGTATATCACATGTCTTTGGACTGTGGGGGAAACCGGAGCACCTGCCAACATGGGGAGAACATGCAAACTTCACACAGAAATGCCAACTGCCCCAGTCAAGACTCGAACCAGCAACCTTTTTGGCGTTTTAAAACTATGACATTTCCAAACCATGGGAAACCTTGAAACTGGTTATGGCCTCAGCCCTAAATCCTTCAAAACGAACCAGCAACCTTAATAAAACCTAACAATAACAATTACAAAAATAATAACAATTATAAAATAAAACAATAACCAATTACGAGTATTAATCAGAAATAATCCTTGCCAATATTTACTTTACTCCACTCAACTTATATAATAACAGTACATTTTTTCAGACAATTGTACTTACATTATACCAAATGTTTCGAATAATGTTCAAAATCCAGAGCAGTAAGCAATTTTAATATAATCCCATCATCCACCCTCGATGTTCGGTTCAGTTTTATAGCCAACATCAAACATAAAGGACTTGTTAATTTCTTGTGTGCAGTTTTTGGTGTAATTATTTACAAATTAAATCATTTATTCATTGATTTTCTTTTCGGCTTAGTCTCTTTACTAATCAGGGGTCACCACTGCAGAATGAACCGCCAACTTCTCCAGCATATGTTTAATGCAGAGGATGCCCTTCTAGATAAAACCCTATCACTGGGTAACACCCATATATGGTCTTTTTAACACACATACACTAAAGACAATATAGCTTACCCAATTCAGCTATAGCCCATGTCTTTGGACTGTGGTGGAAAACAGAGCACCCGGAGAAAACCCACACAAACACAGGGAGAACATGCAAACTCCAAAAAGTAATGCCAACTGGGCCAGCCAGGACTAGAACCTTCTTACTGTGGGCCTATAGTACTAACCACTGAGGCACTGTTCCACCTTATCTTTCTTTGCTTTGGATATAAAGTAAGCCACTGCACTGTTTTGGTCCATGGTTAGTTGTTGGTGCATAAGTGATTTGTTTTCTCAAATGTTTCCTGAATCATAGGCTGACCAGTAGCTTTTGATGTGGAGGGAGCTTTTCGGCTGCAGATACGGTTCCCTTAGAAATTTAAATAAAATACTTGTAAAAAAAAAAAAAAAAAAACACTGTAGGAACAGTGTAACTTTTTTATTTATTCAGTTATTTTGGCGGTTTTAAAACCATGACTTTTCCAAACCACGGTAAGCTGGTTATGGCCTTATAGCACAGAAACCCCTTGAAATATCAAAATAACAGAACATTAAACACTAACAGATCTCCCTCTATATAAATCTTTAACAGAAACATGCTGAATAACACTTACTTTTAACATTTTACTCTCTTTAACATTCAAACGGCAAAGTAAGATGTCAATTATAAATTTGCTGTTGGAGTTATGCTTAATTTAAGAGAGTTAACAAGTTCATGTAAGCATTTTTAATAAATACAATTACCTTTTAATAATATTACACTTTCAGAAATAAAGGTACGACAGCTGTCACTGGGATGGTACTTGAAGGGTCTATTGTGGTATGTATATACCAATATAGATATATATGTCTCATCCCCGGCTCGTTTTTAACTGCTGCTCCAATCACCAGTCTCACCATCTTGTTTCCTCAACTCCTATAATTGCTCTCCTTCACCAGCCACCTCTCATCATACCCATGCACACTCCCCTAAATTCTAATTAGACTCACCTGCACCAGTAATCACAGTCCCCCATAAAGACTCCTTGTTTCCAGTCATTTAACGCTGGAATTGAAGTCAGATGGTTCACCTCACCTCCCCCTGGCTCGCCTTCTTCTGTTGATGTTCCCCTTCTCCTCTGGACGTTTCTACCAACCTGTGGATGCACACACTGTGATAAAGGGTAGTGACTTTGTATACTGATGGTTGAATGAAGATCCTTATTTACGTTGTGAACAACGTACTCCTCTGCTCTCCATCTAAGAATATCACTTACCTGCTTCTCCTGTTGAACAATTCACTGCGTTTTGAATAAATTGATGAAAAGTGAACCATCCTTGTCTTCATTGTGTGAGCGTGACCATATAAGTACCTACAAACTTTAAAAGGAACACGTTTGTACTTTTTTAGGTACCAATATGTAACGTTGAGGTATTAATATGGACCATTTGGGTACAAATTTGTACCTTTTGAAAAAGTACCACCCCAGTGACCACTATTGTACCTTTTTATTTCTGAGAGTAGGCATGGGACGATAATGATGGGACGTATTCAAGGTATATCACGGTTTAGAAAAGTCAAGGCTTTGTAACCGCCAAAATTTTCTGTTCCAAACGTATGCATAAGATTTTATTTTATTTACTTTTTGCTTTGTTTTTACAGTACAGCTTGGGAGTTTAAACTTTTAAACTCGTGTGACCTATGTACTTAAGTGACCAAATGTCTTTGCCATTCCTTCTCAGGTGTGGGCCGTGGTGAGCGTCTGTGTAGCAGATCAGGCCCAGCCCTGTGTTTATTCTCGTGCATAGTGAAGTCCCCACAATTTCTGAGGAGAAAAAAGGAAAAGGTCCATTGGAATGCCCAGAGTAAGGAGGCAAGAGGCCGCCCTGGTGCTGCCCGGATTGGAGTGTTTTCTCCCAGTCATCCCTATAAGGCTTTAGTGGAGTGAGGCTACCGATCCGAGTGCAGCCCAGGCTCCTTGTTTGGGATGTTAGAGGGTGTGGTGAGCAGAGATGGAAACTACATAAGTACACCACAAACCAGTGAGGTGTACACCATCACCAAGTGGCTAAATACCCCCCCGGCCCAGCACTGTCAGGGTAAGTGCCACCTAGCTTCTCTCACCTCCTTCTCTTTCTATTTTGCAAGCTTTATCTGATTACTCTTGAAACTCGCTGTGTAAAGGGTCAAAGAAGTGCTGTTGTTGTTGTTGTTGTTTTTTGCACAGGTGTAAGCTGGCTTTAAATATTTTGGCTGGTTAGAGTGTTTTCTGAGAAAGATTTGATCTACATTTCTGTAAATGTGATTGTGAGGATTGATTTTCCTAGAGACGTGCCTTCTGAAAGATACATTTTCTACCTATCTTCCTTTTCTTTAAAGAAGCACTTAAAGTTTTAAAGAACAATTCTGCATGGTTGTGTCTAAAGCATCCATATTTTAGTATCTTTATTGTGATTTTATAGTAAAATCTCTGTGGGTGTGAGTGTTTTTTAAAGAGAGGTTCTGAATGGCTGTTGAAGCCTGTCTGATTTGTTAGGTTTTTGACTAAATATGGTTCTTCTGGACCGCTGACCAGTCCCCTCTTTTCCTCACCCACTCTCTCTTTTTTCATAAACTATTAGGCAGAGAGAGACTGAGAGAGGGAGAGACCAAAGACAGACATGCTTCCCCATCATTTCCAAATTAGGAAGTTTTCCCATGGTGCTCTCAGCAAGGGTCTTTAGGAAATGTGTGTACATATACATGAGTGTGTGTGCACATATAGAAAAGTACATTTTTCTTCGTAATGTATTGGTATTGTTATAATTGTGTTACTACTAACTTTTTAGGATATATAACATATATTTAGAAAATTACATTTAAAAGACATTTAAAATACTTTTTAAACACTTTAAATTTATTGATCAATGTGTAAAAATTAATTAACAAATTAATCCATTATGGGTTTCCCTTATTGCATTATGTTTTGCCAATTTTTAGCAATAAATGTTTTTATTTATTTGTTAACTCTTTAAGAACCCCACCAAGAAAAAAAATGTTTGGATTGCATTTCTTAACTCTTAATGTCACTAGTTACCACACTCAATGCCTTTTTTAACACATCCCATAGTTTCTAAAATATCAGCCTCTACTAAATGGTTGTAAAATCTACTAAATCTTTATTTTTTGAAGCATGAAATAAAATACTTCAGATTCTTATTTAACATGTTTTCTTGTTGCTGTTTTTTTTTTTTTTTTTACAATAAAACCAAAATCGAGTGTAGTCGTACAACAGGATTATATTTGTTTGATTTTCTTTGTAAACTAACAATGCTTTGTGTGTGAAGCATTATTTAAAGCAGTCATTATTTAAATGACTTTAACATTCATTATTTAAAACAGTTCAAACATGGTCAACCGTTTGGTAGAGGGGCAGTCAAAGGGTTAATGCTTATCAAAATAAGCATGTTGTTTCATTTTTACACAAATAATTTGTTTTACTTTACAACATTGAACATATTTTCACCCGTAATTGTCATTTTCAGTTATTTGAAACTTTTGTACATTTTAATTTGGTGTAGATGAACAACTGGGACTACTCATCTTTATTATTATACTTTCTCAAAAATGATGTTTGTTTTATGTATATTATATTTTATTTTACAAAAGTTTGAATTATTAAATGTGAATGATGTCAACGCAGAGTTGACGCTTGAAATCAAAACTTCTTCCTTAATGCTTACCTGGAAAACGAAAGATAGGCATCAATTAGTTTATGAATGAACATAGCAGGAACACCTTGAATTCCTATTATTCCTATTTATAGTTTAATGGGTGCGGTCCAGTCTTATCACACAAAACTCCCATAGACATAAATGGTTGTTTCCGGTCTGATTTCTGACTCCGATAACTGAAAAAAGAAAACTTTGAAAGAACAATTTTTTCAGTTTGGTCATGCTTTACTTTGATGATCCGTTTGTTGAATTTAAGTTCAATTGCAACTAATTCTCATTAGATTATAAGTAGACTGTTAGGTTGGGGTTAGGGTTAGTTTAAGTTGACATGTACTTGCAAAGTTTCTTATAATCAGTTAAATGTCTGTTGAAGTAGCAGTATCACCAGATATTAAACTGACATACAGTCTACTAATACTCAAATGGATCATAAAAATCAAGGGTTACCACCAGTTTATATGAAATGTCTCCAGAATATGATTAAGCTTACCACTGGGAGCAAAGGTGTTCTGAAATTAACACAATACATTAACAACACACATTGTTGTCATGGGCTATTATAACTCAAAATATGTAAGCAATGATGTTTTTTTGCAGTGATTGTCTCCTGTTGGAGTAAGAAAGGATATCCGAGCTGAAAATGTGTGACGACGAAGAAAGCACTGCCCTGGTGTGTGACAATGGATCTGGACTGTGTAAGGCAGGCTTCGCCGGGGATGATGCTCCCAGAGCGGTGTTCCCTTCCATAGTGGGACGTCCCAGACATCAGGTAAACCACCTATTGTACCACAAGTCAGCAATAAGCACAGCAGACCATCAATAATTTTAAACCTAAAGGGGACAGATATTTGGCAAACATTTTCAACAATACATAGTTGAACTTAAAAATATTAAACCCCCTGAGTTATTAGCCCTACTGTTTAATTTTCCACAATTTCTGATAAACGGAGAGAAGATTTTTTTAACACATTTTTAAATATAATAGTTTTAATAACTCATTTCTAATAACTGATTTATTTTATCTTTGCCAAGATGACAGTAAATAATATTGGACTAGAAATTTTTCAAGACACTTCTATACAGTTAAAACTGACATTTAAAGGTTTAACTAGGTTAATTAGGCAGGTTAGGATAATTAGTCATTGTATAACAATGGTTTGTTCTGTAGACTGTCGAAAATTATATGTAGCTTAAAGGGGCGAATAATTTTGACCTTAATGCTTAAAAAAAAAACTTTTATTCTAGCTGAAATAAAACAAATAAGACATACATATTATCAGACATACTGTAAAATTTCCTTGCTTTGTTAAACATAATTTGGGAACTATTTAAAAAGTAAAACAAAATCAAAGGGGGGCTAATCATTCTGATTTCAACTGTAAAATGTATCATCATAAACTCACAGAGAGTTTCTACTATTTCATTTAGTAATGGCGGCTGGATTAGAGAGTACAAGGAAAACAGAAAAAAACAGAACTAGGAAAATCTTTTTTTCATTCTTTGACAGAAAGAATCCCATAGAGTGCTCAGCATATCGAAGTACACCTCTGACAAATCTTTCATTTGAATTCATATTTTCATATTTTTTAATTAAAACATTATATTCATATATAATATACCATTAAATTAATCCATACTAATGATAAATCTGGAGCTAATTGAACAAAATAACTTTCATAGTTCAAATTTATGTTAACGAAAAATATGAAATTTGATTTTAAATAAAAAAATAGTAAAAATCGAGAGAGAAAAATAAATAATTGAAATTTAGCAATTTGTATTTTTTTTGCAATATTTCACATGAATTTAAATGTATAATCTTTCTATTTTAAAAGTGAAAGATGTTCAGTGAATAAAACATTATCTTGATAAATACATTTGTTTAATAAATCTGTTTTGTTCAAATGCATAAAAATATATGACCTATATTCACTGAGAAATGTATAAAAATATTAATCTTCAAAATGGCGTGTACTCATTTATGCTGAGCACTGTATATATAACTCATAGTGCCTTTATATTGTGCCTTTATTGGGCCATATTTTGTGTTTTCAGTTGACATTATGGTAGGATTTAGAGGTGAATAGTTTTATTAAACACAACTATTAAATAGTTTCAGATTTAATATGTTATTTTTTACTGTAATGTTTCCAGTACTTCCATTTATTTATGGACCCTTTTTACAAGAGTGTTATGACATGTTTATTGGTTATCATAATGTTAAATCCTTGAAAGTTGTTAATATTTAGATTTTAAAAAGCCCTATTAACATTTTTATGCATCTATGTACGTATTATATCATCTTTGCGTCAAGTTACAAAAACAAATAACAGCTTAATGCAGTGTCTATGGGGCTGAGAAGAAATTAGACGATATTTTTTCCTCTAGCTGCCATCATCAGTCTCCCACAATTTTTTCCCTTTTTCTAAAAGTCTTGATAACACCATCATGGAGTTTTTCTTTTATTATTTCAGCAAGTAGAATTGTAATAAAATTATTTGTTGTACTCTCCTATTCACTGTGCCGTACATTTTTCCAACTGTGATGACTTCTGCTGCTGAGAAACCCAGAAATTTGAAAAGTGTCCATTACAGTATGTCACATAAAAAACTCGAAAGACAAAAAGCAAGGCAAGGATATGTGTGTGTGATTGCATTTAAGTGTGTGCGGGAGGATGTGTGTGCTTGTGTATTTTATTAAAAAAGTCTATTTCATATTCAATTGAATATCAAAAACATGAGACAAAGACAGGTTTGTCGAAAGCCATCTCTATTGCCTTCAGATGTTACTTAATCATCTTATTATTGACCCATAGTTAAAAGAACACTTTACTCTTTTGGAAATAGGCACGTTTTTCGAGTCAACTGGAGTTAAACAGTTGAATTTTACTATTTGTAATCCTTTTAGCCAATTGAAAAATTATCACATTTATTTCACAATGATTTTACTTTACTTTTTTTTTTTTTTTTGAATGAGATGCTAATGGCCTTCAATGATTTATGCTAAGCTGTTTTTTGTTCAGACAAATAGGTAACTATTCTATTGAGTAGAAGACACAGTAAATTAAGAATACAGTAAATCTATATTATTATTAATATTACCAATATTATTATTAAGTCAAAATGATTAGCCCCCCTGAATTATTAGCCCCCTGTTTATCTGTATAATTTCTGTTTAACGGAGAGCAGATTTTCTTAACACATTTCTAAACACAATAGTTTTAATAACTCATCTCTAATAACTGATTTATTTTATATATGCCATGATGACAGTAAATAATATTTTACTAGATATTTTTCAAGACACTTCTATAAAACTTAAAGTGACATTTAAAGGCTTAACTAGGTTAATTAGGTTAACTAGACAGGTTAGGGTAATTTGGCAAGTTATTGTATAATGATGGTTTGTTTTGTAGACTATCGGAAAAAAATAGCTTGAAGGGGGGAATAGTTTTGACCTTAAAATGATGTTTAAAAAATTAAAAACGGCTTTTATTCTAGCCAAATTAAAACAAAGGAGACTTTCTCCAGAAGAAAAAATATTATCAGATATACTGTGAAAATTTTCTTGCTCTGTTAAACATTATTTGGGAAATATTTAAAAAATAAAAAAGAATTCAAATGGGGGCTAAAAATTCTGAGATATCAATAGTAATATACATTTTTTTTTGTATTCTTGGCCTAAATTTATCACTTGATTGAAAGTAGACACATCAAAACAATAATACTGAATAGATTTAGCTTGTATCCTTGGCTAGCTATAGTTTAATGTGCAAATTCACTTAAACCTGGGCTTCTGCTAAAATTCATGTTATGTCATGCATTCAAGTTTTTATTATTGAACTACATCCAATCACTTTGTGGAAAGTTGGACTCCAGCCCAGACTGTCTACGTTCAAGTATGTAAGAGATCAAGACAGAGTTAGCTGGAAGTCACTCACTTTTTTTTGTTGTGCTACGGTTTCACTTTTTTTCCCTTAGGGAGTGATGGTAGGAATGGGGCAGAAAGATAGTTACGTTGGTGATGAGGCGCAAAGCAAGAGGGGAATCCTGACTCTCAAGTACCCCATCGAGCACGGAATCATCACAAACTGGGACGATATGGAAAAAGTAAGCAGATCCTATCAAGCAAGCCAACAGAAACAAACCTAAACAAGATTATTCCAAATAAACACACAAGACAAAACAGTCCACTAAAAATATCTTCTTTTGGTAAACACGGCTTATCTTGTTTTAGGCTCAAATTTATTTTCACAGTATTCCCATATTACATACAATAGGCAGCATGTGATATAACTTTTTACATCTACATTACTCAAGAGCACTTTTCCAAATAACTCTGACTCACACGTTGAAAATATTCCAGCGTCATTCATTTCACACCACATGGTGTCATATTTTAACACATGCACACATCAGAGGGTATTATTTGGAAAATGAATGTGATGTTTGTCATTCTGTAATAATGGGAATCAGCTTTCAATTTCCACACAAAATGGTTCATTAGCCCGTTTATTTTCTTAATAGTGAATTTGATCATTGTTTGTTCATTGTTGCCCATTGTTTATGTTCACCAGATCTGGCATCACTCTTTCTACAACGAGCTCCGTGTGGCTCCAGAGGAACACCCCACTCTGTTGACAGAAGCCCCACTTAATCCTAAAGCCAACAGGGAGAAGATGACCCAGGTTAGAGGTGTCACTGAGAAACCCAATAATGGGTACACATTTATTTTTATGGTCCCTTTTACACATTTTGTTACCTTGCAACTACATGTTAACAAATTTTTTAAGTAGTATTAACAGTAGGGCTGGGCAATATAGCCACAATGTAAGTCTGATAATGATATATATTATGTATATCCGTATCATTCTAGTACCATTTTTTTTTCATTTCAATCCATTACTAGTTCATTTAATGACCAAATGTAAAGGACTATTGCTTTTTATATCTTAAATTATGTACTTAGAGGTGTATTTGTTCATATGTGATCTCTTTTCTCACTTTATTTAGAGCTTAAATGTTTGATGAAAATTTAAATGAATGTATAGGTTCCAAAATTAATGATTACAGGTCAAACATAAAAATAACAAACATTGCTAAATAAAATGTAAACATCACCATGTAATATGGTAACATTGCACCATGAAATAAACAATAGAGTATAATATGAAACGATAGAGTATTTATTTTGTCCATACAGTATTTTCATCATCATTTTGCACAGTCCTTATTTATAGACTGTCCATTAATATTTACAGACACTATAAGCTGACAGACTACATTCAATGTTTCATTAGATTCAATTAGTTTTATTTCAGTTCTCACTACTTTATTCATAAAATCAATAAACCATAGTTATTGAAAAAGGTGTAGACCGAAGCCTTCCCTTCTTATATTGACACCCTCATAATCTACTAATCCTCTTATGAGAATTAGTTGGCATTTAGTTGCAATGTAACTTATAGTAGACAAAATATGTAAAAGAAACCATCAAAATACAGTATTGACCTTATTCAAAATTGCGTGTGTTCCGCTGTTGCCTATGAGAGAAATGGCTAGGAATAATAAATGGCAGAAAACGTTCTGGACTATACTGACAATAAAAAATATATATATCAGTTTGTAACATCAAGCAGCGTAACCAGTTGTTTTAACGTCTAAAAATGAATGCAAGTGAATGAGACCTGAAGTGTCAAACCAAAGATTTTCAAATTGCTGCGCCCACTCGTACACAGCGATTAAGGTCAATAAATCAACAATGTAAGAATCATTTATAAAACTAACAGCATGATCAAAATAACTTTCAAAAATAACTTGACTTACCAAATAACGAGTGTATAAACTAAAGCATTACACCATGTACAGTAGTTTTATCTAGAATTTAACAAGTGAAGTTAGTTAAGTGAGTTTTGTTCAAAAACAAGGATTCATTGGGTAGTTTGTACACGACTTCATTATACTACTACTTCATTCAAATTAATTGAATATATATTTAATATAGAATGCAGCATGTACATTACTTCTAGTTACCTATTTATAATAGTGAGAGATTATTATCTCTTTAAAAAGAAACAAAATTGATTTTCTCAAAGTTTTTCATGAATTGTGTTCCTAAAAAATAAAGAATTAAAAGCTATTATTTTAATACAGTTAGATGGCAAACAGCTATTATGCTTTGAAATTAAATATTAAAATAACATTTAAATACCAGAACTAGACTTAAAATAACATTTTTTAAAGCCCGAAGGCAACAGGTTAGAGCTGAATTCTTATGAATGAGAAACTCATGCAGAGAAAACGTGAAGATTTCACTTTAAACAGTCACGTTGTTGAGATCAATCGTTGAGATACGCCTACACGAGTATCACAAAACACCTACAGCACTTTACTTTGTGGAATTTCACTACTGTATATCATGTTTCAGTGCTAAATAATGCATGAAATGCACACAGATGATCCATAAAGGTTAAGCCTTGCGAATAAACTTTGAGAAATTTCCTAATAAATTATTCATTATTGTTTTTGTCATATCACAACCATTATATCATACATGTTTGACATATGCCTGTATGTGCAATATAAAAAAAGTCAACAAAATAAAAAAACTCATGTAGTATAAATTTAATATCAAATCAAATATTTTAACAAAAACATATATATTACATTTTTTAACATATAATATACATTCCCTTTCTTCAATTTTTTTTCAAAAGCAGCTTTTAATATGTAAGTTACACTAACATTATGTTATATAAGTTTAATGTTTTGCTTTTCAAGAACTATACATTTTAAATCTGAGATAAGTGTGAGTGAATAATGAGCCAAATGAAAGCAGATTGCTGAGTTTACATACAAAAAACTGTATATCCTAAGGGACAAAAGTCTTGCTGTGACAGAATGTTAATGCTTGGGGTTTGCACTTTGAACTCTGATTATCAAGCTACAAGTATGCAAACCAGCTCGTACTGCATTGATAGAATAGAAGCAATTTGTTCATGTACAATTTCAGTAATAATACAGTAGTTATCTTTATCTTCTCATCAGTGACATGCAACAGTTTTTCATGTAACAATTTAGCATTTTCGTGGACAATTTAATGCTTCCACACTGTACATGCCACATTAATAAAGCGTCCGTGTCTGAGGGTCAATCTGTTTCTGCGTCAATTGGCATTTCTGTGTAGAGTTTGCATGTTCTCCCCATGTTTGTGTGGGTTGCCTCTGGGTGCTCCGGTTTCCCCCACAAGCCCAAAGAGATGCGCAATAGGTGAATTAAATAAGCTAAATCGGCCGCAGTGTATGTGTGTGAAGGAGTGTGTATGGGTGTTTCACAGTGTTGGGTTGCAGATGGAAGGGCAACCACTACGTAGAACATATGCTGGATAAGTTGGCGGTTCATTCTGCTGTGGTGACCCCTGATTAATAAAGGGACTAAGCGGAAAAGTAAAAGAATGAATGAATAAATTACTACTCAGTTACAGTAATCTATGTATTCGTAACTTTCGCTAATTTACACACCACTGATTTTAGGACAACAAATCTGTGTAAATTCTGTCGTTTCCAGTACAAATCATTATGCTTCTTTTTGTTTTAATGTTTGTGATCACAGTAATTCTGCCAGTAAAGCACAGTAATGATGTTAAATAATGTAAATAATTTATTCCAGTGATGGCAAAGCTAATTTTTCAGCAGCCTTTATTTTGTTTTTTAGTATTACGGTAGGGGCAGAACAGGGGTCGCAGTGGCTAGCACAATCGTTTTACAGCAAGAGGGTCGCTGTTTTCTGTTGGAATTTCTGTGTGGAGTTTGCATGTTCTCCCAGTATTTGCGTGGGTTTCCTTCAGGAGCTCCGGTTCCTCCCACAGTCCATACATTAGTGTATGTGTGTGAATGAGTGTATGGATGTTTCCCAGTAATGGATTGCAGCTGGAAAGGTTTCCGCTGCATAAAATATATGCTTGATAAGTTGGCGGTTCATTCCAATGTGGCGACCCCAGATTAAGAAAAGGGACTAAGCTGAAAAGAAAATTAATAAGTATTACAGTAGGTGGCATAGTGGCTTAGTGGTTAGCAGGGTCATCTTACAACAAGAACATCCCTGGCTCAAGTCTCATCTGGGCCAGTTGGCATTTCTGTGTGAAGTTTGCGTGTTGTCCCAGAGTTTGCATGGGTTTCCTTCCAGTCCAAAGACATGCAGTACAAGCAAACTGGGTAAACAAAATTGGCCATAGTGTGTGAGTGCTGGAACCGCATCAGCTGTATAAAACACATATGCTGGAATAGTTGGTGGATCATTCCACTGTGGCAGCTCCAAATAAGGGATTAAGCATAACGAATATGAATGAATGAGTATTACAGTGTGTGTATCAACATCAAAAACAGATGATAATTTTTTCAAAACTTTTTATTAAAAATAAAGTTTAAAAGAACAGTTTTTTATTCATTCATTCTTTTTTTTCGCCTTAGTCTTTTTATTAATCTGGGGTCCCCACAGTGGAATGAACCGTCAACTTATCCAGCATATGTTTTACGCAGCGAATGCCCTTCCAGCTACAAACCGGTACTGGGAAACATCCATACACACTCATTCACACACATACACTACGGACAATTTAGCTTACCAATTCACCTACAGGTATACCACATGGTTTTGGACTTGTGAGGGGAAACCGGAGCACCCAGAGGAAACCCACACAAACACGGGAAAAACATGCACAAAACTCCACACAGAAATGCCAACTGACCCAGCCGGGGCTCAAACCAGTGACCTTCTTGATGGGAGGCGATTGTGCTACCCACTGCACCACTGTGCTGCCCCAACCGTGTTTTAACTATTACCAATGAATATTTTATTTTGCTATTAGAAAATTTGCAGAAGTAATGACATGATTCAACTTGCAAATCATTGTTTTAAACTACCCATTAAAAAAAAAAAAAAAACATTTGTATGAAAAAACATATGTGTTGTTTTTGATCTTGAGACTTTATTACAATGTCTAACGACCAGGTATCAGGACCATTTATTTTACTTTGCCATCTAATAAATCGTAAAACTATTGTTTGATTGCTGTCTGTGTTCATTAACAGTGCTGTTCTGACTTTGTTTAGATCATGTTTGAGACCTTCAATGTTCCAGCCATGTATGTAGCTATTCAAGCAGTGCTGTCTCTCTATGCTTCTGGACGCACAACAGGTCAGATCTCCTGTCAAACAGGACACAGCCCGAGCTTGCCTTCAAAGCTGCACATTAACAAGCGCTTTGTTCTTCTCCAACAGGCATTGTGCTGGACTCTGGTGATGGTGTCACCCATAACGTACCCATTTATGAGGGCTACGCTCTTCCACATGCCATTATGCGTTTGGACTTGGCCGGCCGTGATCTCACTGACTACCTCATGAAGATCCTAACTGAACGAGGCTACTCATTCGTCACCACTGGTGGGTTTGGACACATACAGTATGTACAGTAAATATAAAGAGTACAAGCCAGAACTATTAGAAAACCCTACTTATTTTTGTCCCTTGATTTCTGTTTAATGTAGAGAAGATTTGTTCAACACATTTCCAAACATAATTGTTTTAACAACTCATTTCTAATAATTGATTTATTTTATCTTTGCCATGATGACAGTAAATAATATTTGACTAGATTTTTTCAGGACACTTCTATACAGCATAAAGTGACATTTAAAGGCTTTATTAGGTTAATTAGGTTAACTACGCAGGATATGGACAATAGGAAAGTTGTTGTATATCAATGGTTTGTTCTGTAGACTATCGAAAAAATATAAAGCTTCAAGTAGGCTAATAATTTTGACCTTAAATTGATTTAAAAATATTTCAAAGCTGCTCTTATTGTAGCCAAAATAAAACAAATAAGAATTTCTCTAGAAGGAAAAATATTTTCATACTTACTGTGAAAATTTTCTTGCTCTGTTCAACATAATTTGGGAAATATTTAAAAAAGAAAAAAAAAAATCAGGGAGGGGGTTGGGGGGCTAATAAGTGAGTATTTATTTACGGGATTTTTGTCTTATCAGATAAGAAAAATAACAGATATAATCCAATTAGTAGAAATTAAAAATTCTAAAAAAAAAATTAGCAATTTTTTAAATAAATCAATAATTAATTTGATTAATTTTCTGAGTGACTCTTGTGTCTCATCTACAGCTGAAAGAGAAATCGTCCGTGACATCAAGGAGAAGTTGTGCTACGTGGCTCTGGACTTTGAGAATGAGATGGCCACCGCTGCCTCTTCCTCCTCTCTGGAGAAGAGCTATGAGCTTCCCGATGGACAGGTCATCACCATTGGCAATGAGAGGTTCCGCTGTCCTGAGACGCTGTTCCAGCCGTCCTTCATCGGTGATCTCTCATCTCTTTTACATCAATCAAATTAGAGCACCTTGATATAAATTGGTGCTGTCTAAAGATTCACCATGATTAATCACATCAAAAATTAATTGTATTTATATATTATGTAGTATTGTATTTCCCAGTACTGGGTTGCAGCTGGAAGGGCATCCGCTGTGTGAAACATATGCTGGATAAGTTGGCGGTTCATTCCGCTGTGGTGATAAATAAAGAAACTAAGCTGAAGGAAAATGAATGAATTAAAATAAACCATATTTATACACATTGAATAGACATACATTATGTAAATCCAAACTATTAATGTGGAATTTGATTAATCGTGATTAATTGGTTGACAGCCCTAATATAAATGATTAATGATGCATTTGAAGAGTTCATTTGCAAAAACAAATAACATGATTTTTATTATTTTCTTTTATAAATCTTTTTTTTTTTTTTTGCAAATGAACTCTGATGTCAAATAAAACATAATTGTGAAAATGGATATAAAAATAACAGATATGTTTGTAGACATTAACTCTTTGTTTCTTGTCAGGGATGGAATCTGCTGGTATTCATGAAACCACCTACAACAGCATCATGAAATGCGACATTGACATCCGTAAGGATCTGTACGCCAACAATGTGCTGTCTGGCGGTACCACCATGTACCCGGGCATTGCAGACAGGATGCAGAAGGAGATCACTGCTTTGGCTCCCAGCACCATGAAGATCAAGGTTAGCACGGGCTGATTATCAATATACAATTTAATTGCTATTATAAATCTTACATTATAGATTCATTTTCTGCCACATATTTTATTGTTAATCAAACACATAGACACACTTATTTCTAAATGACACTTTGGCTGTGCGTACGATCACAGGGAGAGCAGCTGACATGGAAATAAGACATGTCATTTTTATAGTTCTTAAATTCTCGATTTAATTCATCTTTATTTCGATAGAGCATTTACAATGTAGTTTCAATTCAGTTTTCAGAGTTCAGTTTAGTTGAGTTCGGTGTGGTTTAAATTTCACTGCTAAAAGTCCAAATACTGAAGAGCAAATTCATCGATGCACAGCTCCACAAGTCCCAGACCAAGCAAGCCAGTGGTGACAGACTATATGAATAGAATTAAACAGTTAAATCAGCTGTTTCAACTAGAAATTCTTTCAAAAGCGCATAGTTACTTATTTGTTCAAAAATGCTGATTCATTGAATCATTCAAGCATTTTTTTAAATACCAAAATAAGTGGACTGCAGTGATAGAGTGCTACATATTTAGAAATGTGGGAGATTTACTGTAATATTTCCATTAAAAAAAATCAAAGTGATTATCTCTTCAGTTCAAGGTTTAGATTTTGTGTCTTGAAGCTGCTTCCATTGCGTTTAATTGCATTCTTAACTGAATAACATATTTGAAATAAAGAAAAAATAGCTGTGTATCTTGAAACTACAATTGTAACAGATAAAAATGAATCCACAGTATTAATAAAAGTGCATAAGCACTGTTTAAAAGAACTTTACCTTATATGTTCTCATTTAAAGGGATAGTTCACCCAAAAATAACACTAAACTCAATATACCCTAATATACCCTTTTGTGATTCATTCTTTTTTTGACCACAAAAGCTTGTATTTTAAGTTGGAAACCTGTAACCATTGACATCAATAGTATTAATATTTCTTACTATGGAAGTCAATGGTTACAGGTTTTCAGCTTTCTTTTAAATATATTCTTCTATATTCAACAGAAGAAACTCATAATAGTTTGAAAAAAGTAAAGGTTTAGTAAATGATGACAGATTTTTCATTTTTGGCTGTACCATCCCTTATTGCTCCACCTATATAACAGTTTAGATTAGGGGTGGGCAAACTCGGCCCTGTAAGGCCGGTGTCCTGCACAGTTTAGCTCCAACCCTAATCAAACACACCTGCTTATAGATTTCTTGGGATCTTAAAGACACTGATTAGCACGCTGCTCAGGTGTGTTTGACTAGTGTTGGAACAAAACTCTGCAGAGACACCGGCCCTCGAGAATCAAGTTTGCCCATCCCTGGTTTAGATCAATATGATGGCAAAAGTAAATAAAACATTACTAACCACATAACTACACCGTAAAACCTAATAATTAGGGTAACTCAAACCATTTGAGGAAACTTATTGCAACAAACCATTTAAGTTCAAAAACTAATCCCGATGAGTACTGTGAACAAATCCATTTGAGTAAACGAAGCAATTTGAGCACAGTAAAGCCCAATAAATGAACAGAACTCAAACCAACTAAGTACTTTAAAACCCAATAAGTTAAGGCAACTCAAACTGTTTGAGGAAACCGATTGAGACAAACCATTTGAGGTAAAAAAAAAAAAAAAAAAAACGAATCTATCTGAGTACTGTGAACTTACTCCATTTAAATTAAAATAATGAGGTATTTAACCCATTACCTTCAACAATGACTTTAAAACTCTTTTCAAATTAGTAGAATTAACTTTCAGTCAATATTGAGTTAACTACACTTATTTCATTTGATAAAGTTGACTGTTGGTTTTTACAGTGTAATACTGATACTGACTAAAGTTTCTCATGTAATCTGTAATACTCAATAACAGACTACACATTTACTACAGATGACTTAAGTACCATAATCTGAATTACTAATTAAAATATATATATATATTAATAGAAGTCTCTTAACAACACAAAACTAACTGTACTGTGTTTGTACTCAGATAATCGCTCCACCTGAGCGCAAGTACTCAGTATGGATCGGCGGCTCCATCCTGGCCTCTCTCTCCACCTTCCAGCAGATGTGGATCAGCAAGCAGGAGTATGATGAAGCCGGACCCTCTATTGTGCATCGCAAGTGCTTCTAGACGACACCTCCAGCCCCCTCCTGGTCCCGTAATTCTGCTATTGCTTCATAGCCTGTAAACTGTGAACCTGCCCTTTATTTCCCTCTATTGTATTGTCTTTGCACTGCCCACTTCTGTTTGAATGTTCTGATCTAATTATGTCATGACCATATAGAGGTGTTTTCGGTTGGGTTATTAAGCTTGAACGTGCTGCCAATAAAGAAGATTGGGGGGATTTTTTTTAGGGTGGTGAGACTCCAGAGATGAGGAGAGCGTGTTATTCTTCCTATTGTGTTTAAATGCTACGAGGAAACACAACTGCATGTCGGCTTTCAGGCAGTCTGTTTGGATTTCATATGAAGGAATAAAGCTCAGCAATAATTAATTTGTCTTTTCATTGCTCACTACTGAGAAAAACTAAGAAAAACAACACGGTACAAAAAAAAAATCCAAAACACAAGTGAAAAAAATGAGGCGGTGATTAACATTGTTGCTTAACAGCAGGAAGGTTTCTAGTTCGAGTCCCAGATGGGCCAGTTGGTATTTCTGCATGGAGTTTGCAGGTTTCCTCCGGCTTCGCTCACAGTCCACAGACATGCGCTATAGGTGAATTTAATAAACTATTGGCCATAGTGTATGGGTATGAGCTTGAATGAGAGAATGTATGGATGTTTCCATGTACTGGGTTGCAGCTGAAAGCGTATCTGCTTCATAAAACATGGTTAAATAGTTGACGGTCCATTACGCTGTGGCAACCTCTGATAAATCAGAGACTAAGCTGAAGGAAAATGAAAGTTGTGAAAGATTAACCTTCACATTCCTAAAGTATATTGTACAACAGCTTCAAAATTCCAAGGCATGAAGGCATCAAGGCATGTCCAAATCCAAATTCTGCTTCACTTCTTGTCTATTGTGCATTCCATTTCTGATCATTTAGCTAGACAAGTTAGTATTGTAGTACTAAGGAAATATTTCGTTTTTTATAGCCAAAAACTCTCATATTTGTTGTGTGATTAAATTGTAATGCAGTCTGTTGATTTTTGCTAAAGTGTACAAACTCTGCCTCTGAGTCACTTGCTAATAGGGCAGCTGTCTGGGCTTGCAGATACACCCAATGTTTTTTTATTATAACAGCAAAATATATATATATATATATATATATATATATACTATTATATAACTATAATAATAGTTTTAAAAACTTATTTCTAATAAATGATTTATTTTATCTTGATGACAGTAAATAATATTTTACTAGATATTTTTCAAGACACTTATATACAGCTTAAAGTGATATTTAAAGGCTTAACTAGGTTAATTAGGCAGGTTAGGGTAATTAGGCAAGTTGTTGTATAACAATGGTTTGTTTTGTAGACTATTGAAAGAAATATGTAGCTTAAAGAGGCTAATAATTTTGACCTTAAATGGCTTTTAACAAATTAAAAACTGCCAAATTAAAAACTTTTATTCTAGCCAAAATGAATCAAATAAGACTTTCTTCAGAAGAAAAAATATTATCAGACATACTGTGAAAATTCCCTTGCTCTGTTAAACATCATTTGGGAAATATTTTTTAAAAATTAATAAAAAATGTAAAATAATTTAAAACAAATATTATTTTTTACATTACTAAATAACTATTATATTAATATCTATTGTCTCCATTTCCCTCACCATCGTCATTTACTGAATATAGTTAATATACTATATATTATAGTTAAAACAAAATATCTTTCTACAAAAAAAAAAAAAAAAAAAAAGTTGGAAAAAGTTGCCAGCCATAATATTATTTTTAGATTGACTTATTTAACAATGGCTGTGTACACAGTCTTCCAGTGGTCTTGGTAAACCACTGAGTATATCTCTGTAAAATGGCAGCATTCTCCAGCCTGAAAAATATCATGAAAATACAATCTTTAAATAATATGCAGAGCATCTTTGTAATATATACAAGTTTTTGAGCTTCATTTCAATTAAAATTATAACTAGTTTATAATTTATTGTTTTATTATTTCTTATATATATATATATATATATATATATATAGTTCATTTTCATTCTTTAATTTTCTTTGGTTTAGTCCCTGATTTATCAGGGGTCGTCACAGCAGAAGAAACCACCATAAATACATTTTATTTGTAACAATAATATTATTGAAATAATTTTTATCTGCCAGTAATCATAAACAATGAGAATTAGTTGATTTCAATTAATTTAGGAAAGTCAAAAATGTCCTTTAACTCCCCACAAAATTAAAATGAACGAAAAATAAAAACATCAAATGCCCAAAAGACATCTGACATGTTGAGGCATATGACTGGTTTCATGCCTGTGATGAATCAAACAGCTCTTTTCATCACAATATATGAATCATTTAGTTTTGTAAAATGATGTAACGTTTTAATCCAGATCATTTACAGATTGCAGTGTCATTGTGTATCAAAGAGAAACCAGATTTTTTTGTTATCTTTGTCACTTTTATTAACAAAGGCGTTGAGGAAAGAATGGTGCTTGAACAGACACAAAAGCCTCCTTGTACTGTCCTGTTCACAAAGAGCCACAACAGCACAGCATCAGTGGAGCCATTGGCACACACAGCTACACGCTGGAGAAACAATCCAATCCACAACAGACAAAACAAACACTTCTGCAATCTTCCACTGCTCACAAAAAAAGCTTCCTTCTCAAACCACAAAAGTAGTGGAGACCAAAACAAAATCAGTTGGTTAAAATGAGGGAATGGTATACCCTGAGATTAGCGCAGTCAAGGCTGAAATCTGTTGCCTGTAAACAGGCCTGTTCTGTTACAGGAGCTTTGGTGTGCACTAAGAGATCCCAATCTTGTTTATACTTTTCAAAAATCACTTTCCTGTAACCAGATCCACATTGTAAAAAAAAAAAGAAAAAAAAAAAGAAAAAAAGAAAGAAAAGAAAAAAGCTCACTCACCAACATCGGGTAATTGGGATATTCTAAGTGTTATTAAACTGAAGAGAAAATCTAAATTATAGTCTGTATTGCATTATTTTAAAGTTGATCTCCTGCCTTATATTGCATCTTTATTAATTTGACCATTAAAAATAATAATGGACTCTCTAAAGTTGAGTCTGAGTCTAAAAAAATCTGTTAGGTTTTTGTTAAAAAAACAAACTATTGGTTATTCAGTGTATATTGTGTTAAAGAGATAACTGCACGTGATATCAGTGATATATTAAAGGCAAATCATACACACTTTTGTAAAAAGTCCTGAAAACAGTTCACATTTTAGCAGCCTTATTGTACAGTATGCCTTAATAAATGGCGCCATCTTGAGGACAAACAAGCAAAATGGGCGTCCAAATATACCACACGTTCTGACTAGAACATACTGGCCACGAACAAAAAGCGCATGATGATGATGATCTAAAAAAAAAAAACAAAAAAACACCAACTTCACTAAACCTGCTCACAGCAAACAGCGCAGCTGAGGGGTTCTGTCACAGTACCTTTTTGTAAAATAAATAAATACAAAAAAGCCTTCAAGTAAAGAAAGATATAAATAGAAATTCTCAATGGTTTGTTGATACTGATATTTTCCATCTTCCTCTGTCACCTGAGGTCCAGGACTATCGTTTTTGAGTCTTTCACCACAATGTGCTTGCAAATCTGCAAACAGAAAAAAATTGGAAATGTTTCACTTCTCTAAATGCGTTTCGCTTTCAGCGTTATGGTTTTTTAAATAAAAAGGAATAAATAGCTTCTGATTTCCATATTCACAGCTGGTTCAGAAAATTCTTACAGTGAACAGAGGAGGGTCTTTCGAGTGGGGGTGAAAACCTTTCAATCTGCATCCGGCCACTTCTCCCATTCCAGCACTGGTGAGCCGGAAAACTCCTGTGCTGAAGCAGAAAAATGACACACGTTGGTCAAATTATAATGCAAGAACAAAGTGTTATTGATATTGTGCATTTATGAAAATAAACTTTTTTTTTTTTAAATGCAGCATGTAATGTGGTCTGCCACTTTTTAAACGTTTGGGTTAAACATTTAGACTTGTGAAAGTAGTTTCTTAACAATGCATGTAGTAATATTTTTTTATTTAATTAGTTTTAGAATTTTTTTTATATATATTTATGTTCAATATTACACATACTTAATGTTTACATTATTTTGTTATTTTTAGAGATGCTCCAATGTGTCTAATGGCAATATTTATTGGTAGACATTTGATCAGGTTAAAACTATCTGCAATGAAAAGGAGGATCATACACTCATCATCAAAACACTCGTTAATTTGTTATAATAATACACATAATAATGTCATGTTTTCCTGAGTTTTAAATAGTGTTAGATAAATGTAATGCCTTGTGTAACAGTTCAGCAGATGTTTTATTAATATCATTCTGCGGTGGACTGAAAACAGTAATTCAGCGATTATCTGTAATGTTTCTTGCCCATGTCAACATAACTTGTAATGTTCATTCATGTTTTTATTTTGCTATACCAATAGTAAATTGCTTTTGCTTCCAGCTATACATCATTCTTTGCTTTCAAATCTGGAACCGGTCTGATGCCGGATAGTGCACATGCTGCCTTGAAAAATTCTTACTGCCTTATATTTTTTAGTTGAATCAAAAAACAATTTTGTCATCTCAACTTATGATAAATACAAAAAATAAATATTATGTTAAACCTTAAAATAGCGCTAAAAAGATTTAGTTGAAACATGATTAATTTTAAATAAAGTTATGTTATGCTATGTTATGTTATATAATGTAATGTGTATATAGCGCATTTTTCATGTATGGTAATACACCCATAGCACTTCACATTCATAAGGAGGGGTCTTTCCACACCACCACCAGTGTGCAGCATCCACCTGGATGATGTGACGGCAGCCACAGAACAATGGCGCCAGTGCGCTCACCACACACCAGCTATTGGTGGACTAGATATACAGTGATAGAGCCAATTCAGTGGATGGGGAAGACTGGAGGCCATAATCGTTTAGGGCAGATTGAGAAAATTTGGCCAGGACACTGGGGTTACACCTAATGACCACAGAGATTCAGGACCTTGGTTTAATGTCTCAGCCGAAAGACGGTCCTTCTTGTTAAAGTATCATAAACATGAGCTGTTTTTACCAGTAATCATGTCTGTCTACCACTGATTAGGCAACATATGGAATGAAACATCTTTTTTTTTTTTCCCAAATCGGGACAAACAAAAATTGAGCTGTCTGATTAAAAACAGTCATGTTGTTTGGAACCTAAACTTCTGGTAGGTTCCCATTAGGTATATATCTACTGTAAGGAAAGGCATCCGCTGTATAAAATAATCAGCGAAGTATGTGGTGGGACATTCTGCTGTGGCGACCCCTAATAAAGAAGGTAATAAGTCGAAGAAAAGCAAGTGTGTAAGTGAGTCTGCCTTGACCCAGATTCCACTCTACAATAAATGTATGCCGATGCTCATTTCCCAAAAGGCCTCAATTATTATAGAGCTGCTGCTACCCCACACGGAAAAAAGTCAGTTCTAAAATGACAGAAATGATCTGATGAGGCAGCGATTAATTTGTTTGTATCCTCCTTTTCCTACACCTCATGATGATTATGAGAGTAATTTCAGTAAAACCATGAACAATCAGTGTGAAATATTTAAAAAATAAATAAATGAAAAAGATGGATACCTTGATTTGTTTTTTAACTTTGCTCATTGTAAAAATCAAGATTGAGCTTTTCAATAACAAAAGTATTGAGCAAGTAGTAATAATATGAATTACAGCTGTTTTAGTAATAATTAATCATTTTTGTACTATTTCATATTGTATTAACATAAGGAATACTACACCACGGCCAGATTAAAACATATTAAAAGAACATTAAAAACTAATTTTGCAAGAAAGATATTTAAACCATATGTTCATAAATAGAAATATAAACAGAGTTGGTTTTTAGTAAGAAGGAATGTTAGTGATTTGGTGTTGGTCCAATTGGGTTGCTTTACATAAAATTATTTAAGACCTAAAACACAATATTTTTAAGGCGTAAAATTATGTTTTTGAAATTTAAGACATTAAGACTATTTAAGACCCCGCGGATACCCTGTATATATATGGGACATTCTACCAAAAACGCGCATTATCTGTGCCTAAAATAAAAACATAAATACAATGAATAAAAAGTATTTCATCCCTAAAGTTTCTAAAATTGGACTGATAAATGTATATGTCATTCATTTGGATCTCATATTATTTGTCTTCATTAAAACACTTTACAAATGTACAAACCCAGTCATTGGGCTCTAATTTGACAGTCCATGCGCAAAGTGCAAAGCGCAGGGCACAAACGCATTCAGGGCGTGTCAGAATCCACTTTTGCTAATATAAGGATGGAAAAATCCGCTTTGCTCTGTGGCGCATGGTCTAAAATGGTTGAGTTTATTTTCTTAATGAGTTATAGATGTGGTTTGAGAGTAAACCAATCTGAGTCTCATCTCCCATTCCCTTTAAGAGCCAGTTGTGTCGTGCCATGGTGCAATTGCTATTTACATGACGTAAAGTAAGTGTAAGTGGAAAAACCGAGCATTTCACTAGCAAGAAAACAGTTAAACAGAGCATCTACAGTGTGAGAATGAAAGATAAATTATTAACTTTCACTTTCGCTCTCGTGGATAGGAAAACTTATTGTAGTCACAGAAATCAATTAGCCTATAGATAATTAATTTTGTTTATTAAGCGCAAAGATTTGTTTCAAAACTATTTCTAAATTCAGTTCTAATTTCCAGCAAACGATTAAATGAATAATAAAGAAGTGTGGTCAAAAAACTGAGTTATATCCAAATACACATGCTGTGCCCCATATGGTCTAAGCTTGTTTTTAATAAAACAAATATAAATATGCATATAATAATACTGCTTATAATAATAACATTATACAAAAGCAAATTGTTATGAATGAACTCAAAAAGCCTCCCGAGATAAAGAATTTATGTAAGCTAGAAAATAATATGTTTTGTAATATTTTAATCCTTTATATTTATATTCTATATATATTCTTATTATATACTATATATATCCTTAATATTTTAATTCTTCTTCTTATGTAAAGATATTTGCGTATTCCTCTACATCTTGTGTGTAATAAGCAGTGTGCAAGCGAGGTGCAGAACTAACATGCTCTGCGCTGGAAAATAGACCGGCTTTGTTCTGGTCTATTGAAAAATTTATTATAGTTCCTCAAAATAGCAACACGCCAGCAATACACCTCAACACGCCTCCCTTTTTAGACCAGAACGCCTATGGGCGCACATATGAGTGCAAATGCATTTGCTATTTAAACAGCATGGCGCAAAACGTCAAAACGACTCTTGCACCAAGCTAAAACTAGCAAACAACAATTGTGTCGTGCCTTTCGCCGGGTGTTTGATAGGGCCCATTGTCTTTGTCCTCAGCCCAGTTAAACCAATTGAACCTAAAAACTGTTCTTTTTTTTAGAAAAAAAAAGACTTTAGAAATAGCAAGTTTAAGTTGTCATCATTCATCTGAACTATTAAAAACATGAAATTATAAATAAATTCTACAAATAAATACTACAGATGTATAATACAAATTAATTTACCATTGTCTCCATGTTTCTATCGGTCCTATCACATTTGCATTAAATTGAACATAAAATGCAGCCAATAAACATTTAAGGCTATGACTTGAAAATGACATCATTTGACGCAGAAGAAGCTGACAGTTATCAAGGATGCATGCTATCATTGAATTGTATGATTTTAGGCTTGTTTTTGTATATATTTTTTGAAGACGACAAGCTTAAGTCAGACCCTGTTTCATTTTTCAAAAGTAAAAATGTATGTTTCTGGTAGAATGTTCCATGTGCAATCTGGCCTTGGTGTAGTTTCTCCACAGTCATTCAATTTCAAATCTTCTTTATATAACAAGTGTACCTAAATGACTCATGGATATTTTAATGTATTCATTTTTTAAACACTTAAACATCTATTGTACATTCATCTGCATTGATTTGCTGTCGAGCTTAATAGGCTGTGGACAGAAAAAAAGCCTCGAGGTTGTGTGAACATAATGGGGGGCGTGGGAGTGAGTGTCATACTCATTGTGTTTAGGTGCGCAAACAATAGCGATGGCCTCAGGTAGCATAAGCTGATAAGAGCTGTGTGTATGTAGATCCACGCTGGAGAGGAAGGCCGTCTGCGTTGGGTGAGTCTGCAAGCCAAACAAACATAGATTCAAATGAACACCCTTATTCTCAAACAGTAATAGTTCAGCAATAATTCACCAAGTGAAATAAACAGCAGATGGTTGGAGACTGAAAATAAAAGCAGAGTTGCACAGAGTTCTCATGGTGTTCCTTACACTTACATTATGTCCATCAATTATTTGATTATGCAAATAAAAATGAATACAATTGAGTAGCACAATCAGTTTTCAGCACATAGTCTTCCCCTTATACAACTATGTACTTTATATAGGTCAGTACCATTTTTAAAGTGTTCGTAATTTATTTGATTACACAGAGTTGAAATATTACAACTAAGGATTGGTTTTCATATATACAGTTAGGTCCATAAATATTTGGACATCAAGACAATTCTAACATTTCTGGATCTATACACCAACATAATCGACCTGATAATAATAAATAAAACATAATAAAATAAACAAGATGTGCTTTAACTGCAGACTGTCAGCTTTGATTTGGGGGTGTTTACATCCAAATCAGGTGAACGATGTAGGAATTACAACAGTTTGCATATCTGCCTCTCACTTGTTAAGGGTCCAAAAGTAATTGGACAAATGGCGTTTAGGCTGTTCCATGGCCAGGTGTGAGTTATTCCCTCAATATTCGAATTACAATGAGTAGATAAAATGTCCAGAGTTCATTTCAAGTGTGCTATTTACATTTGGAATCTTTTACAGTCAACTCTCAAGTTGAGATCCAATGAGTTGTCTTTATCAGTCAAGCAAGCCATAATTTGGCTGAAAAAACAAAACAAACCCATCAGAGAGATACTGTAGCAGAAACATTATGCATGGCCAAAACAACTGTTTGGAACATTCTTACAAAGAAACAACACACCAGTGAGCTTAGCAACACAAAAAGACCCAAAAAGAGGGTTTAAAGTAAGAAAAAAAATCCTGAGCCTGATTTTTTTTTTTACTTTTTTGAAGTAATATTGATTTACTTTAAATATTGCAGATAATAACAAAAATAAAGTAACAAGAGCTTAAAGTGTTTAAAAAACTGTTAAACTGAGACCAAGATAGAATCTCTTCAATGAGCATGCTTTGCACCATTTATTTAAAAGTACTATGTCAAATAAAGTGTGACTAAAAAAATGAACTTCTAAACTGAAGATTAGAAGTGAAATCAAGGCAATTATTACTTCTTTCTTTCTTTTTTCTGGGTTGTAAGCAAAGTCCTGCAAAATCTTTCTTTTTAGGACATTTGGACCAGAAGATGAAGCTGGTGGAGTGGAGGACGCTGAAGTCTCCTTTCCACTGCACACGACAAACGACAGACTGGAAGTCATTCATTTCCAATGGAGAGTAGCTCGGGAGCTGCGTTAAGTTCCAATCATCTTCGTATGCAGAAAATTCGGATCCGTATTGAGCTGCGGATCCGTAGAAATAATTCAACTCCTGCGACTAGACCTTATGTGACCTGCCACCCGGAAAAGAAGTATTCCAGTGTTGTCCAAACAGATCCGTGCAAGATGAAAAATAGGAGTTTATTTGGTTATTTTTTTTATTATAAAAAGTCTATATTCAAAAAAAAAACTTTTCTGTTCATAAATGTAAGAAAGAAAGTAATAAAAAGGGTCTTGAGGGTCTGAGAGGGTCTTTTTTAATAAAAATCATTGGATTAAAGATCATGTGTAATGATTATGACTTACAGTATTTGTAATGAAAGAAAATGACAACGAACCTCAAGACTTATATGTTGACTTTTTGTATAACTATTTTGTTGTTTACATATGGTATTGCACAAGTCTCTCCTCCATCATTAAAAGTCGCTGAAGTCGCCTTGACAACATAAATAAGAGTGACCCAAAGCATACTGCAAAAGCAACCAAAGAGTTTTTGAAGGGAAAGAAGTGGAATGTTGATGCAGGGATATGGCCAAGTCAATCACCCAATCTGAATCCAATCAAGCATGGATTTCACTTGCTCAAGACAAATTTGAAGGGAAAATGCTCCAAGAACAAGCACAAACTGAACACAGTTGTTGTAGATGCCTGGCAAAGCACCACCAGGAATGAAACCCATTGTCTGGTGATGTCTATGTGTTTCAGACCTCAGGCCATAATTGACCGTCAAGGATTTGCAATCAAGTATTAAAAAGTGAAAGTTTGATTTATGATTATTATTTTGTCCAATTACTTTTGGTCCCTTTACAAGTGGGAGGCACAAATGCAAAATGTTGTAATTCCCACAGCGTTCACCTGATTTGGATGTAAATACAATTAAATTAAAGCTGACAGTCTGCGTTTAAAGCACATCTTATTAGTTTAGTTTCAAACCCATTGTGTTGGTGTATAGAGCCAAAAATGTTAAAATTGTGTCGATGTCCAAATATTTCTGGATTTAACTATTATTTTGGAATTTTCAGCCTCAGCACTATTCTTTAACATGATCCTACAGTACTCTCTTTGATATGCTTTACTTTCAAATTATTATCAGTTCAGCAAAAAACTAATTAAAAAAAACTGCAAACTTTTAAATGTCATTTGTGTCCCCTTTGAACCAATTGAATGCATCCTTTTTTTTTTATTATTAAAACAGTTATTAGTATTTTTAAAACAGAAAAATCTCCCCTAACCTAAAATATTACTACCTTAACTAAATGATTACTATTTGAAATATAATAAAATTGGCCAGAAAGACTCATGACGTACTGCCATTCAAATTCTCTGTAAAGCTGTAATGCTTTCTATATGCTTTTTCATAGATTTTGTGAGGGTCTGAAAAAGAATCACGAGCTAGCTTTTCACCTGCAAAGAATGTGAAAAAAAAAACTGCAGAGCTTTAATTATAATAGAAGACAATATGTAAGAGCTACAAAAATAGACACCCACATGGATCCAGCCTAGGGTCAGTAGGTTATGATGATCCTGGTAACTGAACAGCTCTTCCACATTCTCCATGTCACAGTAATCAGGACCGGCAGACTGCTTTGGGACGATCACGTGAGTCAGCACAAACTCATTATGTGTCTGGGGGACAACAAAACACAGATTTTAAGATTTCAAAACACAGATTTTTCACAGATTTCTTTTAGTGAAATAAAACACTGCATATCTGGCAGGCCTAAACCACACAATATTTGGCAACAAGTGTCAAACAAGATGACCAGAGCAATGCTTAAAAGCTATAACGCTTCCTTTGTTGACAACAAAGCACATCCAAATTGTGCCATTCTGTATGCTAAGACTTTATCTGACTCATTTTGGAAGGCAGCCTAGATGTGTCTTACTGCTGCCTATTTTTAAAATAAATTAAATAAATAAAATACTGACATTTTTATGTTTCCCCTTTCTGTTAACTGTAAAACCCAATAAGTTAAAGTAACTCAAACCATTTGAGGAAAACGATTGCAAAAAAAATCATTTAAGTTAAAAAACTGTTCCTAATGAGTATTCTGAACTTAATCCATTTGAGTAAACAAAGCAATTTGAGCACAGTAATACCCATTAAATGAAGAGAACTCAAATCAACCGAGTACTGTAAAACCTGTTGGTCCCACTTTATATTAAGTGGCCTTAACTAATATGTACTTACACAGGAATTAATAGTTTGTTACAATGTACTTATTGTGTAAATACATGTTTTACTGTGTACTTATGTTTGATTAAATACTTGTATGTAATTACATCTGTAATTAACTTTTGTAATTACATTTGTAAATACCATCCCTTACACCTTAACCCCCCCTTAAACCTACCCATACCACCAAACCTGTCCTTAACCCATCCTCTATCCCAACTCAAAAGCACCACAAGTGTTCTCAAATACATTATAAACACAGTAAGTACATTGTATTTATTTTTTGATGCAAGTACATAGTAGTTAAGGACACTTAATATAAAGTGGGACCAACCTATTAAATTAAGGCAACTCAAACTGTTTGAGGAATCCGATTGCGACAAACTAGTTGAGTTAAAAAAGTAATCGATATGAGTACTGCAAACTTACTCCATTTAAGTTGGAGTAATGAGGTAGTTAATTAACTCATTACCTTCAACACTGAGTTCAAAACTCTTTTCAAATGAGTAGAATTAACTTTCAGTCAATTTTGAGTTAACTACACTCATAACATTTGATAAAGTTGACTAATGGGTTTTGAATAAACAGTGTTGAATAAAAAAGAAGATAATTGACCCTTCGCTAAGAACCACCCTCCTTAGTTACTGTTGCTACGCCTGTCAAGCTTTCATGCCTGGCACGTCTATTACAATGTGTATGCGCCGGTGTCAGCCATTCCCAGGCATAAAATTAGTGATTTTTGGCGAACAGGTGAGATATCTGAGAAAGCCAGACAAAAAAGGAGTGCAGTATGCATTACAGGGGTATATTCAATACATATAGTAGGCAACCGATTAGAGAATAATATAATCAAAATTGAAGCTAGGTCAGCCTAGCTAACCATTCAACAGCTTAGTTCATGCAGAGCAGGAGAGGTGACATTTACAAATGATCTAATAATAACTAATTAAAAATAAATAACTAGTTTATCTCTTTTTTTTTTTTTTAGCTAAAAAGCCTGATAGATTAATTGTTGTGCAATGAAATTTGGAGTTACTAACCGAAGAGCAAACACGCATGGACAGTTCTTTTACAAAATTCATTAATAGAAAGAGCAGCCAGAAAGGGGAAATTGATAGATTTGTGCCAAATATTAGCATTATTGACCGAAAACAGTGTACAGCACCTATAACTGTCAGTATGTTTGTGTGCTCTTTATACAGTTTCTATTCTAATTTGCAGATAAGTGGAAAAAATAAATAAATAAACTGAAATGCAAATCAAAGTATAAATAGCAGAAGTGAACAAAAAGATTTTCCCTACCAGCAAATATTAATCCGACACCGAATATAAAAGCAGACACTAACCTGCTACAACATCGCCAACAATGACTAAATCTCTAAAAAACATCAGTGAATTGTTCCTGTAGCTCTGACATGGACACGAGGGTTATAAATGACTGAAAAACAACAGACACTGGTAAAGTATATTGATCGCAAGTGCTCAGTTTGTGATCACATCTCCGTTTTGTTCTGTTGACATGCATTTTCAAATATTCATACCTTAAAACAGATGGAAATATAATTGTTATTAGTATGACTACTACGGCGAGGGCTTAAACAGAGCAGTGCTTTTACCATTGAGCGAAATAAAGAAAAAGACAGCTGAGAAACAGAACCTGCTTTGTATTTTTGTAGGAAACGCAGTTTAGATCTGTTTAGGGTAAGAGGTGTGCGAGTTATTGCCGTTTATCACTGAATGTGTCAGGAATATCGAAACAAAACCAATTTAACTCTGCTCCATCAGTGCCCCTCACAGAGCTTGATCCACACTGGCATTTCTCCCCTTGGGTTTTAGGTTTTAAAAAGCAAAAAAATTCCACTACCATGTCTAAACTTTTAGGATACCAGGTATCAGATTTGCACAATCCATTTGCACAATGCTTTGGCCTGTTTCCCTCACTCGAAAGCTTGACAGATCCAGATTAGGTTGCTATGCCATGATTGGTGGGTGGCGGTTTTTGGGTGTGGCTTAGCGAAGGGTCAATTTGAAAAATGTTAGAAACCGGTAACCACTGACTTGCATAATAGGAAAAACAAATACCATAGTAGTCAATGATTCCAGCATTTGTTTTCAAAATATCTCTTTTTGTGTTCATTGGAAGACAGAATCTCAAACTAGTTTGTGACTAGTGAAGAGTGAAGAAATCAATCAGTTTTGAGTAAACTGTCCTTTTAACTTACTTAATAAAGCAGCTTTTATGCCATTTTTAATGTGATTTTGAATATTTCTTTGTATTTATTATCACATCTTTGTTTTTTTGTCTAGTTATTTATGAAAGTATATTTGTATGTACAGTATATTTGTGTAGCACTTTGATATGATACTTTTAAAGGCTTATATTTTATTATTATATTAATTACACACTTTATTTTAAAATTTCCCTGTCCAGTGTAATTATTAATTAATATTATTTTATTACTTGTACTTATAGGGTTAGGTTTAGTGACATGTAATTATGCATAATTAACTGCAATTACTTTAGTAAAAATATATAGAATGTGTAAAAAGGCCACCTTAATATAAAGTTACCTTATATTATTATATGAACATCTGATCTTAAGTATAGCTGCATCGCTCTAATATTTGGATTGGTTATCGGCTTCGATACTATTCAATAGTTTAATGTGAACTACAGTGGTCATATTCATGTTCAAGTCAGCGCTTCCCTCCGCTGCCCGTCAATCATTTTGCATTCATTCACAATTCAATTTGTGTGCAACATTAGGTTATGACAACACAAAAGAGTCTATCCAAAATTATTTATTCCAATTAGTTTAAAAAATCAGTGGAGAAATTGGTTAGTTTTGCAATAAAAGGCTTAACTTAAAATCTAAAGTGAAGTCTAGGGATACTCTGATCGATCAGCTGGAGATCGGTATTAGCCGATAATCACATTTTATGACTCAATCAGTACTCGCTAACATGGCCGATCACATTTGATTTATTTAGTTATTTAATTTATTTACACATGGACAAAGTACAACATGACATGTTGTTCCAGAGTTAGCTATAAAGCTAATTTACATCTGTAGTCATGGGCAGGAAGTTGTAACAAATTTAACAGTAAAAAGTAATACAATATACACTTACAGTAAAACACATACATCAGAATCAGTACTCTGTATCAGCCGATCACCAGATCTGCTCCAAAACCCCTGATCGGAGCATCTCTAATGAAGATTGTAAATCTGATTACAAATGCACAATGCTAAATACAGATATAAATGAAACATTTAAGCTTGTCCATTTCTTTGATCACATTCATAGATAATGTATTCAATCAGATTGCTTTCAAAGGGTAGACGCTAGGGGTGTCAAAATTAAGTGTTTCTTTGGTGCACCGCGATGCATACGTGGACAATAAGGTATCGGTTCAGTAATAATCATAACCGGTTATTATGTACTGAAGTCATTGGGCAAATGCTAAGGGCGCTCTATATCCAGAGGGGCGCCGGAAATGAGCGCAGTTCAGTTCCTGACACACATTCAGTTATAGACGGCAATAACTCAAAAACCTCTTACCCTAAAAAGATCTAAAGTGTGTTTCCTACAAAAAGACAAAGTTGGTTATGTTTCACAGCTGTCTTTCTTTTTTCTTTTTTTGCTTGACATTACGAGCACTGCTCCGTTTAAGCTCTCGCAATATTAGTTTAGCTAAAGTGTGTGTGTGTGTGTGTGTGTGTGTGTGTGTGTGTGTGTTTGTTTATTTGTTTGGTGCGGTCTATGTTTGTGTATGTGTTTGAATGAGAGACAGTGTGGTGCTGTGTGTCTGTGTGTTTATAGACAGCTTGTTATAGCCTCCCCCCTAAAATATAACACTGTATATAGAAAGCATTGTCAATGCACCGTGATGCACCGAGATATCGAATTGAACCGAATCGAAGGCATGACAATCGTAACTGAACCGAACCGTGAAACCAGTATAGGATCACACCTCTAGTAGACGCTCATATAGTCAAATGCATATTCACTTAAGACTGGCTCCTTGCTATCTATTCATATAAAGCTTAAACATTTCGCAAACTATTGTTTAAGCACTCTAGCCAAACAAAATTTAAACATTTGGCCTGAAAGCAAAACAAAGCTCTAATTCAGCACTAATTCTAAAACAGATCCCACAGCCCTGGAGTACACTGCAAAAAATGCTTTTCTTACTTAGATTTTTTGTCTTGTTTCTAGTCCAAATATCTAAAAATCCCTAAATCAAGAAGAATTTTCTAGACAAGCAAAACATATTGTCTTGTTTTGCTTGTTTAGAAAATGCTTCTTGATATAAGAAATTTTAGATATTTAGACTAGAAACAAGACAAAAAATCTAAGCAAGAAAAGCATTTTTTGCAGTGTAGTTGTGTGTCTATGACAGCAGAAATGAAAGCTGCTGCTCTCTGTATTGGTTTCAGTTTTCTCAATTTCTCAAATTACATCTGCTCACAGACCTTCCCTTCAGTAAAAAGAGGAAAGTGGTTGAAAGTGGACAAAACAGACATAATAAACCACCAGGTGTAAATGGGAATGTGTTTTCTTCATCTACTTGTGATCCGATCATCAAAAAGGCAACTTGTTTAAGAAGTATAAACAGGGTCAATGATATCCCACTATCCTTTGTGTTACATTTACTGACAGTGAAGCAAGAAATACAATATTTTTGTTTGGTTTGTGGTCAGATCAAGTGTAAATGTGTATTTTTTTAACCATTTTTTTTCAATCTATTGTTGTGACATGAAAGTCGATGATATAATAAATAAAACTGCAATGTGCAATAAAAACACCTGCAAAACTATATATTAAATAATGTTAAAATAAACATGTTTCATATTATTCCTAGGAAAAGTAAGCAACACTACAAGTTGTAGGCTGTGCATACAGTCGCATAACATATTTTATAAAATTCAATTTGGGCCAAATATACTGGACAAAAAATGACCACCCGTAGAGCTACAACTAACCTGTAAGCTGCTGATGAAAACATAATGTGTTGCTGCCTTTTTAGTTACAGACAAATTGCACATCTGCTGGTCAAAAACCCAGGCTTAGCTGAATTTGAATTTGACACAAAGTGATTCTTGTCAACTGAGTAAAATATCAGGGCTAGTTGCTAATTTACAAACATGTATTCATATTAGATTTGGTCACAGAATGATTATTTTTACGATGTTAACACAGTTGTGTGCTAGTTAGTTCATTTTATATGTATACTATATTCTCCACTCGTCTTCATACGTACTGTGTAAACATAGAAGAACAGATTTACTACAGTAACCTACTGTTTTAGTGACTACTGTAAAAACATTTCAAAATCAGGTCACTTAATTCATTATAATTTATGTAGATTTAATCAAATTTGGGAAAAATTGAAATATTTACATGTACCTGTAACTAAACATTTTACAATATTTTTTTTTTTTTTTTTAATCTGGCTTATTTTAAGAAAGAATAATGTATGAAAGAGAACAATAGACCTTCACAAAAGATTTTAGGTTAAATAGGTTTAAAGAAACCTGTATATCTATATATTGCATCTGTTTTTATTAGTGAATAAATGTGTATTATTTATTTGTCATTACGATGTGAGCAATAAACAAGGTGTGGAGGGGTGGGGGGTGTTTGAACCATTTCCAAAAATATCTTATTTACGAAAATATTCATTTATGACTTTAATATAGATATAGATTATAAAATATATAAATATATAAAATATAGATTATGACTTTTTAGTCATATCTCACATTACAGGGAAATTTATATGAAATTATGGTGTAAACATCAGTCTCTGGACTTGTTGCATCACAGACACCAATTTTAACTATTTATAAAAATTTAATTACATACAGGCGATCGAATATTGTGCATGGATTTATATTGCGATCTTGATTTCCGTAAGTATTACATAGCTTTGTAAATGTTTATTATTGCCATTTGTTGAGTCTTCCCATGCAGTTTGATAGAGTGCTTGGACCTGGAAGCTGCTTTATGTGTTGTCACACTTAACAAGCGGATATTGCAATTTTTGTACATTGGCAATGTTGTAATTATTTTGATATACTGCACAGCCCTGAATTGAAGTATTACATTTTTGCTAAAAGTACACATGAAATCAAAACTAACATATTGATTTTGTTATCTCATATTGCTATATTTGTTATGAACAATTCACCTGTGCATGTCAAAAAAAAGTAAAAAAAAAAACTGCCCTTGTAATCTAAAATTAAAATCTGAAAATGCACTTCCTGTCAGTTTCAAGTTAAAATCTTTCTGAGATATTGGGCATAGTTAACATACTTTACTACGCACCTCTAACTGTCAGTTTTGAAAGCGCTATGATATCAAACAGAAATAGTGAGAAGGAAGTAAAAGTAATTAATCTCCCGAAAACCCTTTCCCGATCTTTCTGAATGAAATGCATACTTTACTACATCCAATCAGCTCGCAGTTGAAAAACAACAAACCATGACCACTGTTTTCTCATTAAACATTACGTTGCTTTAAAAACTGTGTCACAATACAAAAAAAATAAATAAAAAGGGTTTCAGCTTCAGATTCATGCAGACTTTAAGGCCCAATCCCAATTCGACCCCTTAGCACTTCCCCATACCCCTACTCCTCAATTTGCACATTCATATGAAGGGGTAGGGGTGTCCTAATTCTCTTCAGCTTGAAGGCATAGGGCTAAGGGGAAGTGCTAGATAGCTCTTGAAACTTGAGATTTTTTAGGACCACACTCGAAAGCATGGGGTAAGAAAATTTCCCAGAGTACACCATCTACAATGGCAGCACACGGAATATGAGATGGACAAATTATTATTATTTTATCATTATTACGAATTTTTATAACAAACAAGCATATCTTTTAATACATTCATAACCGCGTTCATGTTTTACTGTCATGTTTAGAAAAAACAAACAAAAAAAACAAAAAACGCTAAAATAAAACACGCAAAATTTCACTATATATTATCCCTAATAATAACTCCTGTAGCTATAGCAGTCCCATTCAAGTCCCAGACAATCAAATAGCCTGTCAGAAAGTCTAGTGGCTGGGAATGAGCTTTTTACCATGTCTGCTAAAATGTTAATATTGTGTTTTGTGTGTTTACGTAGATGAATACGTACACAGTGTAAATACACAGTACAGTTATGAGCTTTTTGCCATATTATATCGGTATGATAACATAATATAATATAAGCTGTCAGTGATTTCCTGAATATAAATACCAAAAAATAATGGCACAAATAGAATTGTGATTTGACCACCAAAGGTCTCTCTATTCTGTTTTTGTCATTAAACCATTATGCTGCCTCAGAAGACTGTCCAAATCCAGTTTTATAAACTGCCTGATAGCACAGTGAGGCAAAATATCAGCTGTTCTAAGCTTCTGGAAGCAGCCCCGGTGTTCAGTTCAATAAAACAGGTTCTCATAAACAACTGTGAAATTAACAAAGTTGAAGCAAGTGACCCAGGGTGACTGCAGGTTTCACAAAGTAAAATTTAAGACTTTAAGACATTTTTAGGACCATTATGAATGAATGATAAGACACATAAAGGATATATATATATATATATATATAATTTAATGCATTTTTATAATTTAATGCATTTTATAATACAATAATAAATTTAAATATTTTAGATAATTCTTAGCAAAATATTTTAAATATTTTCCAACATAAACTTTCTTTAAAATAAAAAAACAAATGAATAAATGTTTTTTTATAAATAAAAAAATATATATAATAAACTAAATCTATGAACAATAATCTGTCCAGGTTGGTGTTCTCAGCAGTAAATACATAGAGCACTTTCAAACAAATGTTATTGTAAGGAAAATTAGTAAACTATTATTATAAATAGTTTAAAAAATATATATATATATTTTTTAATAAAAAGTTGAAAGTTTTTTGTGATGGATTGTTGGTGATGGTATGGGTTTTGGTCAGATTGGGTAACAATACATAAACAAAGTAAAATTAGAACTTGTTTAAAAACTCAATATTCTACTCAATATTTCAGTAAATTTAAGACTTTTTAATGCCTAAACTTTAGATTTTGGAATTTAAGACCTTTTAAGACTCGGAATCCCTTGTGGCCATGTTAAAAAGATGAGACTAAAAATAAAGAAAACCTCCACTTATTTATGACAAATCTAAGAAAAATCAAATCACTCATCAAAACTAATCACTACAGATCAAAACAATTAAAAAATGGTGTTTGTTGAAAAAACTGCTGTAATACTACAGTATTGCAGTGTCATTTTCCTATGAATAGTATCACTATTTCATGTGTGGTGAAAGAATGAGGAAGTCACATTTACATCTAGTGTTTACACTGATTGTGTAACACTACTTTCACAGTGAATGAGAATTGCTGCACACAAAAAGGTTAAATGATGTTTACAACTGACCTTCAGCACTCCCTAAACCACATTTACACTCACTTCCAGGGAAGTATCAGCATAAATCAGGAAATTCAGCTTTGGTTATCACTCGATAAAAGGGATCTCACTCACACCCACAGAGAAATGGTTTGCTCGGTCTGAGGACTTACCAGTTTTCCACAGAGAACTCCACACGTTTCAATTCCTCTCGCTGTGTTACTGTCTGCCAGCAGAAGGAACCTGTAAGTCAGGTCTCGTGGGATTAAAACCCGCCTCAGGCCTTCCACGCGCTGATCTAAAACACACAGAAACATATTGTAGTACTGCTAATAGTGTAACACAAGTACTGCATAATCTAGAACAGCAAAATACAACTTTACAGAGTTATTAGAATCCTAATGGAGTTTATTTTGCATTAATGAATGTTGAAATATATATTGTTCATCTCGTAATAGTGATTTATCTAATTCCTAATTCTTTAAAAAATAGCAACAGTTTATTTATTAGATTCCAATAAATCAACTGTTGCTATTTGTTTAAGAAATTAATAGTTAAGCAAAGTCACATTCAATTGATAAAAAAGTATAAAAGAACTACAAAAAAGTCTGTAAAAATGTTCAAATTCAAATTCTGAAAAAAGAAAAAGATTATAAATAATCAACTCAAAAACAGAAAGCCTGCAAAAAAATAAAAAATTTCCACCAAGTTTTCTAAAAATCAATAAATAAATGAATACATTTTGCAAGAGTAACATGCTCTGTGCCAAGACAAAAACTGTTGGGGTTTTAACACTGGCTGCAAGATATTGGAAAAATCCTATATTGCAATATTTTTTTGCAAAAATAAATCAAACATCGCAATTTGAATACAGTCTCTCAAGATGTTTTGAATAGCTCTGTTTGTTTGACAGTTTTCTTTGGAGTCTAACAGTATTCAGGTACAAAAATGAATCATCAACAAATGCGAAAAAAATAAATGAATAAATAAATAAATAACTTTCTTACTTTGCTTCATCTTGTTTGTAGTCGAAATTCTTAGATCAAGTAAAAATATTGTTTTGTTTTCACCTTCAGAATAAATAAGTCAAAATTAGGAGTTTTTCCTTTAAAACAAGCTCAATTATCTGCCAATTGAATAAGTCAAATAATCAAGTTTTGCTTTAAAATTTAGATATTTGGACTATAAACAAGACAAAAATTCCAAGTAAGAATTTTTTCCCCCCAAAATAAATAATTACAATTTAAATATAACTATAATCTTTATTTCACCTCCAGCATCAGATTTTTTTGTGCCCAAATGTTTTAAACCATGATGAAATGCAGTGACCTTAATAACATTTGCAAATAAAAAAAACTTCACTTTATTATGGTTAAACTTAGCACCAACTCTACAAATCACATGAGTTCTGTAGCTCCTGGTCATCTATAATTCAGACTCAACACTGCAGATCTTGTGATGTGACTATTGCAAATATACAGATTGCGATATCAATGCCAAACGATATATTGTGCAGCCCTACTTTATTGCTAATATGTAAATTGGAAAATCTATGGCTTTCACTGGGAACTTTTTGGCTCTCTGATAACCTGTGTTCCCTGAAAAACAAGCAAACAGGGTTTTCAACAAAAAAAACAAATAATATAAATAATTTAAGCACAAAATCAGTATGACTGGAGTAAAGACTTGCTTGTAATAATATTTCCCAATATTACTGTATTTTTTAATCAAATAAAGATAAAATTTGATATTAAAAACTAAAATATTAAACTTTTGGACTGCTAGTATCATAACATAATTGGCTTCATCACTCTGTCTCCTCTCCAACAATCAGCCGGTGTGTGGTCTGGCGCAATATGGCTGCCGTCACGTCATCCAGGTGGATGCTGCACACTAGTGTTGGATGAGGAGATTTCCCCCAATGTGTAAAGCGCTTTGAGTGTCTAGAAAAGCGCTATATACATGTAAGGAATTATTCTTATTACTGTTATTATTGTTATTATCATTATTATTATTATTATAAGTAAACAAATGAATTACTCGATTTTATAATAACATAAGATCAGCAGTCAAATAAAAAGTTTAAAGAGATACCTCTCAAAAATGTGAAAGTGTATTCATTCTCAAGTAACCTAGTATATAGGTGGCTAATTTTATCTATTAAAACATTAATAAAGATCATTAATGTGTATGCTCACAAAAATCTGGAGTCTCAGCTTCATGTGACATAATTAAATATATCAAACAGTAGGAATGAACAAAAAGACAATATTTCTAATTGAGTACCAATTTTATAATGGTTGTGTCCAGTATAAACAGAAGAATCATTTTGTCATCATGTGTCCTCTTTTGTAAACAAATGTGTGCAAGGGAATTGTCTTATACAATAGTGGAGGTTTTTCTTTTTGTGTCTGCTATAGATAAATCAGAGAGAGGTGTTTGTCTCTCACCAATTATATTACACACTACAATTACCAAACCCCTAAAAATCAAAACTTCTAGGTTTTCTCAATGTTTTTGTAATGTTTTTTATATATATATATATATATATATATATATATATATATATATATATATATATATATATATATATATATATATATATATACATCTTACGCTACGCTACATCTTTAAATATATATATATATATATATATATATATATATATATATATATATATATATAAAGATGTAGCGTACACACACACACAAAACAAATCTGAAAATTCTCACCCTCATATTGTTATGCCCTGGGGCCTTCGTTCGCACTCATCTTCGTAACTCAAATTAATATATTTTAGATGACATCTGAAAGCTCTCTGACCCTTCATAAGCAGCAACAGTTGTCCAAAGTCCAGAAACAAAACCATCATCAAATGTTCCATGTGACTTCAATGGTTAAACCCATAAGCATACACAGCCCCATAAGCACCTTTTGTGCACCCAAAAAACAAACAAAAAACAACAACTTTGCTTTGCTTTTGCATCAGATCAGGGTGCACGTTTACAACGTACAATAAGGCACTTGCATGTTGTGCTGCTAACTTTAACAGGCAAATACCTTGTATGTTTGGCCAACAAAGTCATTTAATTTCTTTTTTTTTTTGGAGCTTTGTATTTGAACCATTGAAATCACATGGAATGTTTTGACATTAGCCCCTTTAACACAGTGATATCAGTAAACATCTGAAAAGTCTCTGGAACAACTTTACCAGTAAATTTAAAAAAGCGCTGTTCACACAGGCAAGGAGATTACAGATTTTTTTCCGGAAAAGAGCATTCACACATCCATTCCAAAATACTGGTAAATTCTCACATCATTAACCAGAAATGACTTCTAAACGGCTGGGCTTTTATGTGTAAACAGGAGTCTGGCTTTTGTTGATGATTTCCCTTTTATTTAAAGCTTTAGCATTCGTGCACCTGCATTGTCCAAGAGATATTCAAAAGCAGAAGCGTGAACCGCAGCTAAATGTTTACACATTTGACTACATTACAAATTCTATAGATGAATAAGTATTGTGAACAACTTTGATGAAAACAAATGGAGGAACACTTTCACATGTCGAGATGTGTGCTGGCGCTTTTATCAAGCAATTGAAGCAGAGTTTGAAGGTAAACAATGAGCGGCTTGTCAAAAGCATTTTATCAATATTTTTTTCCACAGTTGGCATCATTATTATTTGAATTGCTTATAACTATTTATCAGAGTTTTGTCAGTATATTATTCAACACAAGATGTGTACAAGAAATAATTTTTTTAAAGAGCACCTTAAAGGGTTAAGAAGGAACATAGTATCCTTATATATGGTATCAGACTAACATCTAGGGGCCAAATCTGTCAAGAAAAATATTCAAAGGCTTTTATTTTCATAAACAGTGCAGATGTGAATGCGTCTGAATGCTCTGATTGGCTGAAGTAGACGTCTCATGTCAGCGCATTCTAAACATGAACGCAATCTCTTTGGTGTTATGCCAGGAGGAGCACCCGTGCTGTAAAATGCACCTCTTCTGCTGAAATGTGCACCTATTAAATAAAATTGATTCAAAAAAATAATAATAATAATAATTATGCTATTAATGAGAGTGACTGAGGTGAGTTTCATGACTGAAACCCTTCCCTTACGGAAGATATATTAATAAATAAGTAAATAGATTAACTTTAAATACAATAGTGATAAGATTAGACAAATTGTTTAATGTGTGGTTTTGTTTAAAACCGCAACAACAATTTTGTGTTCCATGTAGCCTAAATGTCTGTTTAAAACCCACCAAAAAGACTAATTTTAGGCTACACTACAGTCAGTATTATTATTTTACATTTATTTGTACACCTTGTGTCTGAGTCTGAGGGGTGTATTTCTCTGCACAACATGGCAATTTTACTTCTGCGTTCGCATAGAACAGCAATCTAGCAAATTACTGGTAATGTCACAATTACTTCTTCCGAAGAGTTGCCGAATTTACTGGTATTTTTAAAAAGGGTCTGTTCACACATGATCCCTTTCCAGAAAATTGCAGATAATTTTTAAGGTCTGTAAGTGTAAAAGGGGCTAGTATCTTTGGTTCCTTTTCTAGACTTTGAACGACTTGGTACCATTACTGTATATGGAGGATAAGAGAGCTCTCTGATTTCATCTAAAATATCTTACTTTGAGTTCTGAAGACAAACAAAGGTCTACGGTATTGGAATGATGTAATTGTTGGTAATTAATACCTGAATTTAAATGTATGTGTAACTAACCATCAGTAATAGAAAAGAAAACACACAACTGACTAATTATAGGGCGAAATATTAAATCATAACTTCAAGCAAATATGATCAACACACTTACTCTGTACAGCTGCTAAGGTGGCTGCCGGTTTGGGAATAGGGGCTGCTGGTTTGTTACGATTGGGGTCAAGGCGCACATGGTTTCTGGGGGTCTGGGATAAACAGGACCCGTCAGTTTGTTCAGGCACTTTGGGGCCAGCATCATCCCTCCGACTGGCCAGCTCCTGTCTACGCAGTTGGTCCTCAAAGTAACGGAACTGCTCAGACTCGATCTGCATCTTCCTGAGCTGTGCCACACGCTGCCGCTCTTCCTCCAGCATAGACATCTTCTGCAGTTGTGCACCACACATGTCAACGGCCATGGCTTGAGTCTGCATGACACATAGTTTATATTCACAATAATGAATCTGATCTTAAACTAACAGGCATTAATTCAGCTGTGAATAAAGTGTGTCAAATGTACCTGACTCTTCAGATATTCGCTGTGTTCTTTGCTGTATTTCTCGTGGAGAAGTCTCTTTAATTGGTCCTTGCGTGGAAAAGCCACTTCCTGTAATTTCTGAACACAGAAGAACAGATAATGGGGAAAACATTAGGTGTCGGGTTACAGACAGCGAATACCAAATCAATATGTGCTAGCTAATGCTTTCAGGGACATAATGATTTTTTTAAAGCTGGGAAGAGAGACACTTAAACCAATTACTCATCTTTTTTGCCTTCAAGGACCACGAGAAAACATCAGTTTAAATCATTGGTTTAGAATTTGCAGCTTATATGATAAAACAGAAGCTATTTATATGCTAGTACTAGCGAATGAAAAAACATTCAGCAAATATTTAGCACTTGATCATTCCAAAATTGCTCAAATCAAAGCTGATAACTCATAATGCTCTACAAATTCTGCCTCAATAAAAACATATCAAGTGAAAACATCAAGTAAGGGATAATGTACTCGGCACAAGGCCGCAGGCTGAATGCCTTAGTGTCTCATCAGTGACAATTTACAGCCATAATCGCACTGCGCTTATACAACAGTTGATGGCATAATTGTGTGCAAAAAAAGAAAAGAAAATCAAGAAAGAAAATCATCTGCAGCTGACGTGAGAACAGCAGAAACCAATTCTACTTCACCAAAGTTACTTTAGAGCTTGTATTTTAATGATTCGCTAGCGTAATGTCTTAAGTGATGACTAAACAGCTGATTTTGCTCACATTTTAAAATTATAAGCCTGAATCTGCAGATATTTCCCAGTAAATTTCTGTTGCAATTGGGAGATCACAATAATTATCCACAAAATAGTCAAAGCAATGCAAACACTACCAGATTACTGTTGTGTTCTTCATAAGGAAAAATAGGTGGGGTGGGGATGTGGTGGGTTAATTGCAGCTGCTTGATAATGTCTCTGGGGGCCAAAAAAAATGTATGGCCCCTAAGAATCGTTCTAACTTCAATTAAATGTCTGTGACAAAAATGAAAGTAAATAAATAAATATTTTTTAAATAAATAAATAAAATAGAAATAGAAATGCAATATTATAGATGCTATATAATAATATAAAATACGTACGTACATCCCTACGCCAGAGTAACAGTCGGAGTGAACGCACAATATACACATAATGTATCGCCTTTGAGGTTCTCATCACTGATAACCATGGTGACGGGCAAGAAAAGAAAATGCAAAATGTTGCGCAAGAAAAGAGGACAAACTGTAATTTTTTTCACTGAAGTCAAAGGCAAGCCGTTGTGCCTAGTCTGATGCGCTTAAAGTGATGAAAAAGCCAATCTTGTGTGTCACTACAACTCGAAGCATGCTAAAGTCTTAAACTTAAGTGTTAAAAAGCCACTTAACAGTTTTTTATTTGATCAGCTGTAGTTTACAACTATGCTGGGTTTTTCCTTCTATAAGGGCTTAATATTTATTCTGTCGCCATCTTGTCTCTGAGAAATTATAAATATTTAAAATAGGCACTATACTTATAAATAAACTGCATAGTTGCCATCTAAACAACTACAATGTTAACTTAAAACCCTTAAAAGTACATTAAGTTGTCCATCGGCAGCAGTATTTGTCAAACTGTAGTACAACTGAGTAATACACAAGAGTGAAGGGGGAAGAGGCTGTACTAGTGCTGTTATTTGCAGAATATCATACGGCTAGCAGCCAATCAAGTTGAAGAACCAAACAGAACTGTTGTATAAATATAATATAAATATATTGTCTGGGAATAATATATCTTGGAATGCCATGACTGACTTGAATCAACTATGCCAGAGAGCCATGTAATTGATGCAAACTTCACATATATTTATCACATATAAATTACATATATTTATTTAAGACAGCGCATAGATCTTATGAAAATCATCAAAGAGCCGCCCTTTGCTAAAGCTTCAGGAAATCACTGAATGCACAAAAGTAATAATGAAGTGGTGTTTCCCAGCATGATCAGCATGAAGTTCAGCTGATAGAAGCGAAAGCAAAACATGTGCCCACACAAGGCAAACCCACCATGTGAGCAGCTGAGAGCATGACAAGTCTTCCAGCCAAAGTAATTGAGCGTAATGCTAATCAGATTTACAGTGGGCTGAGCGCCACAGGGCTCCATCAGTTACCGAGAGCAACACGCCAGGGGCTTACCTTCATTATCACCTGCTTCTCAGGGATGTTGCACTGCTGATAGTCCCTGTGGCTGGGGAGTTTCTCAACAAATAAACTGTACAAAGTAAAAATGTCAAATGTTGAAAACAGGAGTTAAAGGTTGATAGTCATTAATTTGATTAAATATTTGAGGAAAAATAACATTTAAGACACAGCTGAAAAGCTACAAACAAAACAAAACATACGTGATGAACTTGTTGTAGAGGACAAAGGCATTCTCCAGGCTGCCCTCCTCTAGATAAACAGCTGCCATACGCTCCATCTCCACACCAGAGCGAAAGTAGCGTCTCGGGGCGATGTCTTCGTTTATTTCTATGTTATAGCCCATTTTGCTGAGGGCCCGCACACGTTCCACAGCAGGCAGAGTGACATCAGTGTGATCCGGCTCAGCTGCTAACTTCTTCTGCAAACAGACAACAGCCGTGAGAATAAAGCAGTGGCTTATTTAATTATTTATTCATTCATTCATTCATTCATTTTCCTTCGAATTACTAATCAGGACTCACCACAGCAGAATGAACTGTCAACTATTCTAGCATATCTTTTACACGGCGGATGCCCTTCCATATATATACCAGTACTGGGAAACACCCATACACTCACACATTCACACAAGCACTCATTCACTACCAATTAGTTCATCCATTGTAAAGTACTATTGCTGGTGAAGGCAAAGTGGAAGAAATAGTCCCCTATTTCTTTTTTAGCATTTTTTGTGTGGTGATTTTTCCCAGCTTTTTTTTATCTGTTTAAATAATATCAGTCCATAATTGATATTTATTTATATAATATGATTTTTGAATCCAAACACTTTTTGAACCCAAACATTTTTTAATTCAAACACAACCGTGTGTTTGTTAATCTGGTCAACGGAAAACTGGCTTCAAATGAACACATTTTCAAAAGTTCACACTTAGCTGATGATTGATTATGAAGCTTGTTTGGCATGCTGTCCCAGGAGAGAACCCTAAGCTCATAAGATACTCGAGCCCGAGGCTCCCTCCTGTTTGCAAAGCGTGGGGAGAGTTTGAGCTCAGGTAGATCTCGAGAACTGCCTCTTCAAAATGATGGTTGTTACATGGAACTTAGGGTATTTATAATGATTTAGGAATCGTCTGATTGTTGAATCATAAATTGAATAATGCGGGACCAGCCGCAAGCAACCATATGCATGCGATCCTCTCTAAATTATTAATTAATTCATTCATTTTTTTTTCGGCTTAGTCCCTTTATTAATCTGGGGTAACCACAGCAAAATGAACCAACTTATCCAACACATGTTTTACGATGCGGATGCCCTTCCAGCAGCAACCCATCTCTGGGAAACATCTATACACACCTATTCACACTCTTGGACTATGGACAATTTAGCCTACCCAATTCACCTGTACTACATGTCTTTGGACTGTGGGGGAAACCGGAGCACCCGGAGGAAACCCACACGAACGCAGGGAGAACATGCAAACTCCACACAGAAACGGCAACTGACACAGCCAAGGCTCGAAACAGCGACCTTCTTGCTATGAGGCGGAAGACCTACCTGCTGCACCACTGCATCGCCCCCTCTCGAAATTAGTTTATAATTAAACTTAACTTATTTTTACCAAGCGGCAACCTCCCGCTCTCCCTCGTGAAGTAAATACGGAAGTAACTAAAACTACAATTCATCGCTAGTCCTGGCTCCATAATAGAGCAAATTTCTATCCACCCAGATTGATTTGGTTCAATAGACAGATTAATTAGATGTAGGCTCTCGAACAGTCATCTGAAACGTTGTCATACAGTGTTATGCTGGATTTCATAAATAGCTTTGCATTTACTAACACAGCCTACATTTGACGTGTTTGGAAGTAATTTGGGTTTTCCTGCTGTAGAAAAACGTCATAAGTACAACGTTAAGTAGCTCAATGTATTACAACAGTGTTTTTAAAGGTCTAAACACTTTATTGATATAGTAAACAGCCAAACAGCTTCTTTTGGGATGTTCAGAAACCTATGGGTGACATTACGGCTACTGCATCCATTTCTGTTACAGTCTACGTTTTTACTTAATTTCTGTCATGTGATAAAGTTTGGGACTCTTTCCAGGTTTGCCTTTTTGCTAAAGTGGTTGGGATTTAGAAATAATAATATTCAACAATATTCTTGGCTTGACACTACTGCATAAAAGAAAATTAGAAATTTGAACTTGTGCAGTGTAGGCATGGGACGATAACCGCTTTCAAGGTATACCGGGGTTTGGAAAAGTCAAAGATTTAAAACCGAAAAAAAAAAATTCTGTTAAACCATTCCTACGGTTTTGAAATGTTTTTTTAATGTGTTTTTTTTTTTTTTTTTTTTTAACAGCAATTTTTTTTAGTTCATTAGGGCAACAGTAACTCCAGCTTTAAAGGACAGTCCACATCAAAAGTTACGGTTCCAAAATATTTTACATGTTACTTAATAAAAAATATTGTGTTCAATGGGGAAAATGTTGCTGTTTTTTTACTCAGACATTTTAAAACACATTTTAAAGCAGTAATTACAGAACCCTGATACTGTGATATTAGTCACACTTTACAATAAGGTTTATTAGTTAATGTTAATTAATGCATTTACTAACATGAACAAAGAATGAACAATAAATTTACTACTGTATTTGTTCATGTTAGTTAACGTTAGTTAATGAAAATACAGTAGTTCATTGTTAGTTCATGTTAACTCATGGTGCATTAACTAATGTTAACAAGCATGGACTTGGATGTTAATAATGCATTAGTAAATGTTTAATTATGATTAATAAATGCTGCACATGTGTTGTTCATGATTAGTTCATGTTAGTAAATGCAATAACTAATGAACCTTATTGTAAAGTGTTACCGTGATATTTTATCCAAGGTTATCATACCGTCAGGATCTTATACCGGCCCATGCCTAGTGCAGAGCTGTTTTATTGCTGAATCGAGATTATTAAAAAAATGTACAAATAATGCAATTTTAACACTGTTATTGAACTGATTCAAGCTAAATAATGACACTATTGTGTTCAGAAGAACTGCTTATAATGCTGGTCACATTCAATACTGATTGAGCTGAATGACACGATTGTTTTTGTCTGAACTTTGCAACATTTATAAAAGCAATTGGAATGGAATTGTAATTTACTCTATAATGCCTCATTGTCATATCATGTACACAGAAATTAGCGTGTCTTCACAGCAACCTAACAACATAAAAGTTTGTTTAAATGTTTTATGCATTAAAATAGAATACAGAAGGTATTTTTTAAAAATGTACTTAAAAAAAACAAACCGAACTGACTTCATAATCAGTGGTTGATTCTATAATTTTTCTGCCTACCAGTGTGAAATACTATCTGCTTTGAATCTGTCTTGTATAATCTGCTAAATAAATCATGATGACCTGACTTTTAGATTTCTGACTCTAAGATGACTCAACCTGCCGAGCTACATTATAGCGCCATCAAAGAAAGATGCCTGAACTAGGATCAGTCCCTGGCCCGTACGCCAGCAGCACAGAACATTTGGTCCAAAAGACATCACAAGCCTCTGATGCACACAACATAAGCTCTGTTCATCACCCAGCTTGAGCGAACCGGAACACCCACGCTGAGCTTGCTTCCAGCTCTCATACTAATGACTAAACAGAGCCTCTGTATTAGGGTCAGAAAAGAGCGGGCATCTTATCAACATGCAGCAAGACACTGATGGACACCAATAAGGGTCTGGCGACAGCTTGCTTGATTTAAAAAATATGCAGTTAAACATTTGTGAATGCTGGTGGAGAGCCAAATTAAAAGTCACTCACTGGAAAGAAAAAAAATATGTTTTTCTTAGTTAGAGTTTTTGTCTTGTTCCAGAACTTATTAAATCAAGAAGCATTTTCCAGACAAGTAAAACAAAAACAAAAAATTTTACATTTTGCAAATTTCACTGTAAGACAAGCTAAATAATCCCCACTGGCACATTATTGAGCTTGTTTTGAAGAAAAAGCTTGTTTAAATTAGACTTAAAAAAATAAAAATAAAAATAAAATATATATATATATATTATTATTATTTTTTTTTTTACTAGTCTAAAATGCATCTTGATTTAAAACTTTTACATATTTGGACACGAAACAATAGTAATAGATGCAATTTTTGCAGTAGAAAACTGGCCAGAATAAAAAGACTACTTTATTGGTGCATTCACCAAAAGGGGAAGTGAAGTGTGAAGGGGGCTACATCCGTTGCTTCCCTCTCGCCCACTCCAGGATAGAGGAATCTAAATGACGGAGCTGCTGCAATGGGAATACTAATGGGAGTGAGTCAGAGGAAGCCATTCTGTCCCTGCGACCCACCTCCAAGTAATATCAGCTGTCCCCCCACCACCATCACCACCCTCCTCCACCCACAATGCCACTTACCAGCGTGCTGAAACTGAAGCCCTGGTCCATGGTGAGTTTATGAGCTTGGCTTGCAGGCTTCGATCCTCCCTATGCATCCATCTGTCATCTCCCAAGATGATTCCAAGCTGAGGAGCAAGAAACATCATATCTGGCATCACAGCAGTTCTAAAGACGTCTTTTTAGTTACTCAACACTTGCTTTGGATACAGTTCCATGCTGCAGAATTTCTTAGCGTGTTCTCCCTAATCTATTAACACAGTTACCATGCCCTGTGCATTTCCATGGGGATTATTGAATATAATTCAGCGTCTCAGTCCCAATAACACAGTTATTCCTTCCAGAATCTGTGCTACAGTTGCTATGACAGCTTGTTACCATGCAGCAAAATATGGTGACTCATGGATATCTTCAGCTGTGAAAAAAAAATCCTTGGTGAGCTTTTTCACTTAGCACAAAGCTGGGTACATATTGATTAGCTTCTCTCTCACTCCCTTATGTATTCTATGATAGCTGAGAGCAGATCCACTATTTCACAATTTAAAATAATACATATAATCACCACAGAAGAAAATATTCTGAATAATGTTGCCATGGCAACTTAAATTAGATGCACCGCTAAAATAAAAGCACAGGAGGTGTGGCAGATTTAACACCGAGCAATGTCTGATAAGCAGGTCATTGCATCATGTACATTTGCATTTGACTGGTTAAGAAAATATTGCCTCTAGATCAGAGATGCCCAAACTAGAGCCCGCGGGCCAAAGTTGACCCTTTGTAGACTTTGATTTGGCCCACCAGATGGAAAACTATTGCGAAGGGTTGGGGAATGCTTTTAACAGACCCACATAGCGAAATTTTTCTGGCCCACACAATCAGGTTTTGCTTGGCCCACATGCCGCAATGAATTACGGTACATGACTGGACCAAGTCTAGCTTTCAGACAAGAGCCAAACATGGACCATATCTGGGTCAAGTCACAGACAGGTTAATAACTCATAACTGGGCCTGAGCTGGGCCAGATATGTTGGTGTGTCTCGATTGCAATGAAATTGATAAAGCCGCAAAGCATTGTGCTTTAGGCACACTAGGAGCATGCCTTTTCTCAAAGAGACCTGATTGGTAAAAAAAATTCTCTTTATTTAAAAATTAATGTAACTCATTTTAAATTTAGGTCAAGACAGGCCAAACTTAGATGGCCTATATATCAGTTTTTTAACATCTGGGCCAAATACTACATTTTACATCTGGCCCAAATCTTGTGTGGCGACAAATCTGCCAAACTTGGGCCATGTCTGGCCCTAATGCTGTATGACAGTGCCGGATGAAAGCCTGCTGTGCCAGCTTTATGCCAAATCTGGGCCAAAATTCTTTGCTTCCTGGGGAGATTCTCATGTGTATTTTAATGTAAACTTTTGTCTGTTTGTTTTATTGTTGAGCTACAAAAAACAAACAAAAATTTAATTAAATGTTACAATTAAATGTTGTACATGAAACAGATTTAAAAAATGAACATAGTGACACTTAACGAATTGGGGACAAAGCTGAAAATATCAACATGCAAATGATTATTTTTAACAAATGTTTGTTAAAATAATTTACATTTTCAAAAAATAAGTTTATATTTATATACGGTTGAAGTAATCTTTTGTTTTTATTTGTAATTATTATAAATTAAATTAGGAAATTACCTATGGCAACTGTAATGTTATATAGTGGATATGGTAGATGAGGAGATTCCCCCTATTGTGTAAAGCGCTTTGAGTGCCCAGAAAAGCGCTTTATAAATGTAAGGAATTATTATTATAATTATTATTACAGTTAGCTACATTTACCTTCATCCCACAGCTCTCAATCAAGCTTGGATTTTGGTCCTTCAGAGAAGAAAGTTTGGGCACCCCTCCTCTAGATTAAATTGCGAGTTTACAAAAAGTACAACTTTTTAAAATTTCATATTTACTCACCAGAGAAAGCAAATGTTGATGCCTCTAAGTGCCAATTTTTTCCATCTAAAATGAACATTTTTCTTAAGCACCTTTGTGTAGGTTCAGTATTTTCACTTTTATTGTGACAAATAGGTTTCTATTCATTGCCTTTAAATTGAAATAATGTAACAAACATTAAAGGCTGAGTTATTAATTTTTTTGAGTCAAAAATATTCTAACAGAAAGCAGCTTTTGCATTTGAACTAACAAATGACTCAGTAGCACATAATGGATGTCTTTAAGGCTAAAGAGATTTAAAAGCATCATAAATGGTTAGAAAATATTAATATTTTATCTACGAAAACAAACTATGTTCTAAACATTGACATTATCGAGCTCCAAAATACATTTTCAGTGTTCCGTTGAAGGACAAGTAAAAACACAAGAATGCTCAATGAGGAATGAGTAGTTCTTCAACAATTTTAAAAGCCAAATAAATGAAACCACAGTCCACATCAGCATACATGCCTGTGTTCGATAAAAATACAAGATCTGTGATTGTATCTCTCCTATCACAATATTTAAGATTAGACTTTTACCCTGATGAATATTTTCCCAGCTGTGCATATACAAAGTTTATTCAGCAAGTGATTGCTATAATACTCCTCCTTCCTGACCCCAATGAATAAGTAATATTTTTGTAATTAAAAAGTAACACGTCATTTAACAGTGAGTAGAACTTTTTCTACTTTAGTTCTTTTTTTTCTAGTGAATCATTCCCTTCTGATTCATAATTTGCCTCCGTAAGTAACTTCTGCTCTTCTCTGTTACTATTCTAGACATTCTAGACTACAGATTTAATCACTAAAATCATTCAGATCAAATATATCAGTGAAATTATTCAGGTTAGTGCTATATTTCCTAATTCACAACAATAATAAAGTAACTTCTGCTTTTTCTGTCACTGAACTAAATTATCATATCAATTGATCAGTTTTAAATGTGCTCTGACATGGAGCTCCTCCAAGACACAATAAATATTAAGATGGCAAGTCAACATTCTAGATTACAGATAAGATCACTTAAATCATTCAGATCAAATATATCAGTGAAATTAATCATTTTAGTGCTATATTTCCTAACTCGCAACAATAATAAAGTAAATTCTGCTCTTCTGTCACTTAACTAAATTCTGATATAAATTGATCAGTTTTTAATGTGCTCTGACATGGAGATTCTCCAAGACACAATCAATATTAAGATGACAAGTATACATTCTAGTCTACAGATAAAATCACTAAAGTCATTCAGATCAAAATATCAGTAAAATTAATCAGGTTAGTGCTATATTTCCCAACAATAATAAAGTAACTTCTGCTCTTCTCTATCACTGAACTAAATTATTATATAAATTGATCAGTTTTTAATGTGCTCTGACATGGAGATTCTCTAAGACACAATAAATATTAAGATGGCAAGTATACATTCTAGACTACAGATTTGATCACTGAAATCATTCAGATCAAATATATCAGAGAAATTAATCAGGTTAGTGCAATATTTCCCAACAATAATAAAGTAACTTCTGCTCTTCTCTGTCACTAAACTAAATTCTGATATAAATTGATCAGTTTTTAATGTGCTTTGACATGGAGATTCTCCAAGACACAATAAATATTGAGATGGCAAGTATACATTCTAGACTACAGATTTGATCACTAAAATTATTCAAATCAAATATGTCAGTGAAATTAATTAGGTTAGTGCTATATTTCCCAACTCACAACAATAATAAATAATAATAAATAACAATAACGCATGGGCCTAATTTAGAAGTAGCACAAAAAAAAGTGTAATGTTTAATAAATGTAATAAAGATCCTCACCTGTAGGTGAATGGCTGTTGTGATCCCATGCTCCACATTCCTACAATCGTCGCATGTGGCACTTACTAGAATTCAGCGCGGAAACAGGCAACTCGCGTAAATAAAAGAGCAGGTTTTTATTATTGTCTGAAACTCTCGGTCTTTTGCCTTTGTGCCTCATGGAAGCTTTGTTCTTTTGGCATGGGTATACGCGCGGGGCTAAAATGGCTGATTGCTGTCTTTCAGAGCGAATAACCCTGCGATGTCAGACGGTTCGCCAGGAGCTCTGCGAGTCAGATGAAAGCTGCTGCTGCTGGAGCTGCGGTGCTGCCGGTCACTGGCTGTGTTTCAAACGCTCACGAGCCGCCTATGTAGGCAGCATCCGGATTTTCAGGATTTTTCTTTGATGCCTTTGCGCTGACCAGTTCACTAGATTTTGTGCCGCAATCAGAGTGACATCTGGAGAGAGTGGGAATGGCTGAATAATACGACATTTACGCTTTGATTTATTGATTCTACATTATTTTCAAGCACTCGCAGATTTTTATGACAGTTTATTCACATTTTAAAGGCATTGTAGGCCTAGTCTGTAATTTGTTGTGTGTTTATTGGGGCATGTTTACGTTTATTTTGTGCCATTTTTCTCGTCACAATAGTTAAAAAAAGGATAAATCTGATATAGGCTAACATGTTTGTATTTTTTTATCCACCAGATGGGGCACAGTTCCTTTAAATCAGCATTACATTTCTTCTGGCAACTGTTAATAATTAATGTTCTTTAGAATTAGAGTTCTAAAGTGCTTGTTTAAAACATTTATTAATATTTATTTATTTGTTTCCTTAAGTGTACTTGCGATGTGGACTACATTTCATTTAGTTCAAGGTTATAATAATAATAGGCATAATAATAATAATAATGATGATGATGATGATAATAATAATCTGTTTGCAAGGCATTTGGCCTTTTTTTCTTTTCTTTTTTGTACTTTGTATAAGGAAAAAAATTAAATAAGTAGTGTTTTTTAGTCTAACTTCAATCATATTCAGCTTGTAAATTTAGCAATTTGTCACATTGGAATTATAAGGTTCTATCTGCGTTCTGAATAATTAAGATATTATGAGTTAAGAATTAAGATATTGAGCTTAAAAGTTTTTTTTCATTCCATATAGCAAACAGTATGTGTGTACCATTTGTTTTTTAAATAAAAAGTCTTAAAATGTAAACAACTTATAAAAAACATCCCATAATGTAAATATATTGTCATTCAATAAGAATATGTCAATAACTCAATTTTGACAAAAATGTCAGATAGAACCTTACAATTTTAATGTGACAAATTGTTAACTGAAGATTCACTCTGTCATTTGAATAAGTACACAGATTGAGCACCACCATTGACTCTTGAAGCGTGCAGCGAGTTCACCAGTTCAAAATAACAAGGAATGGCATGTTTATTGTGGAATGTATAGTGGATTTTTTTAATTGCAAAAGCTGTAGTAAAATAAAGTAAATTTTTTCCCAAACTACAATAGAAATACAATAATAAAAAAAGAATAAAAATACTCTGTAAGTATTCTGTAATATGCACCTCCGATTAAGTCTAAATGGACTATATTCATTCATTCGTTCATTTTCTTTTCAGCTTAGCCTCTTTATTAATCCGGGGTCACCACAGCGGAATGAACCACCAACTTATCCAGCACGTTCCAGCTGCAACCATCACTTGGAAATGGATTATATTATTATTTATAATAATATTAACTTGTGAATCCTAAAGATATTGTGTCAGTAACAAACAAGTAGAGCTTAAACGGATTTTATCCAAAACTGAAAATGTATTTATACTCACCCGTCTATTGTCACAAATATGTTTGAGTTTCTAAACAAAGTTAGCTTGAAAAATGTTGGAAACATTCATAACAGTCGTTACCGGTTTTTAAAAATTCTTTAAAATAACTTTTTTTGTTCAATCAAGGAAATGCATAAAGGTTTGGATCCACTTGAGGGTCAGTAAATAGTGAGCAAATGTACAGCTTTGATTGAATTATCCCTTTAAGAGTAACATTGAGGATTGCTTACTGTAAAACTTTTATTTTAGAGATGCTACATTTCTGAAGTATTTATTTAGTATTTCTTAGTATACATTCTCAGAATTGTTATATTCTCTCTGTCTCCTTTTTTTCACACTGAAATGGGAAAGAAGGCTGTTATGTATATGCTGGTCCATCTGGATTTTCATCTGGTTGGAATTTTCTTCAGTCTAAATTGAAAATACAAAAATTGGTGCCTTTTGATTGGAAAAATTACTGAGCAAATAGAGGGTGATTATATGATTTGCATTTGCTTTAATTGTTCCTAATGTAGTTTGTCCTGTAAAGTCTGTAAACTTTGTCTTGCTGCTCCTTTTGTGCAAGGACACTTCTCAGAAAAAGATTATTGATTTCAGTATTTGGGTACTTTCTGTTTAAATAAAGGTTAAATAAAATTGTACAAATTACAGTTTAACAAAAGTACTAGTTAAAATTTATTATTATTATTTTTTATTTATTAACTCAAATGTTAACTCAAATAGAAAATCCAAAGAAAGTGGAAGTTTTAAGTGCTCTTTTGTATACAAATATTGTTTGTTTAGAATTGAGTTTAAAAAAATAAAACCAAATAATAATTAGATTTTCTGTTACAAAGACATGTTTAATATATCATTGTTGTTTTTCTGTTTTTGACATTATTTTCATAATTTGTAGAATAATGTCATCTTGTTAAGAAAAAGTTAACGCATTTCCACCAATAATTCAAATTGGATTATTGATTACTCGCCCCATATCTTTTCCCCATATCCCTGAGACATTCATTTATCTTTACAACACAAATTAAGATTTATTTTAGCTGAATCTCCAAAAAGTGTTTTAAGAAATATTATTTAGCTGTAAATCATGCTTAGCTATCTTACTACACTAGAGAGAAAAGTATGAGAGTTAACTGGTTAGTAACTAATAATGCAAAAGTGTACCTCTTGCCATTTTAAATTACCTTTGAGGTATTAATATAGATAATTTAATTAAAAAAATCTACATTTTATGTACCGCCCAGTGTCAGCTCTTGTACCTTTATTTAAGTGAATAAATGTAGGAGTAGTGTCTGTGGAGTGAATAAATGGAATTATAGGCCACTGACTACAGATGAAAAAAAGGACATAGACACCCAAAAGAGCTATATTTTTGTCTTTGCTCTGTTGCACTTAAGCATATTCACTTGACATATCTTTTTAACCTTTTTAACATTTTTTGTTGTGGTGGTTGTTTATTTTCCAAATATTTTTTTATTAATCAAAGCTTTGTATTTCTCTGTGACAAATGACTCTAATGATGCTGTCCTGTGATGTCCCAATCTAAAAGCCGAGAATTATTCTAGCCTACATAATGTAGATCAGTACTCACGCGTATCTCCGTTTTAAACTCTTACATGTAAAAATGTTACTTCTCCTGCTAAAGATGACTCAGTAAATTTATTCTGGATTTCTCGAGTTCGACGGGAAATGAGTCTATCGTCTCTCGTAGCGGATGAATCCACCGTCCCCTACACACCTGAACTGAACTGATTGCGTCATTATAGCTTATGCGTCATCGTTACGCCCTCAACCTTATCACCTGAATCACTGGTACCGCTCGCAGCAGGTACAAAGCAAATTAGCGAAGGGCTGTTAGTTTTATATCTTCAAACTTCAGATAAAGGATTTGTAAGTTTCGTTTTGCTTCAGGGACAGAGGAAGACAAATGGGGATCTTGTACTCAGAGGTAACGTGACTTACAGCTTGTTTTGAAACTTAATCTTCCTGTTTTGGACTGGAAAAGACTTGGTTATTGTAACATGTTCTGGTCGTGTAAATGTAAATTAAGACAAGAGATTAGGACAATCTCTTACGATTTAATGAGTTTTCCTCTTCGTACTTGAAGTTTGTCAGCGTAATGGATTAAACTGAGTATATACTTAGTCATAATTATTACTGCTACGTGTAACTGTGCAGTAACTGTCATCTCCGACAAACAGTTTAACGTTCACACTTTTATCATCAGAATTCAGAGAAGAGTCATATCTTATTTTGTTTTCTTTTTTAAAGATGTCAATTTTTACGTTTTATTATACTTTAGCAATGTTGTTAGAATTTTCATTAGTGATTTAGCATTTTTATTAGTGATTCATTAGTGAGACTTCATCTCATTCGGATACACGCTTGTGTTGGTTTACTTGCAGATAACAGAAAAATACAACACAGTTTATAGATGTGATATTTGCACTGTTTATATAGGCAAAGTAATCCACATAACGTTTATTATTTTTAACTTTAATTTTGTATTTGCAAAGGGTGTGTTTTATGTGTTGAGTAATCTGTCAAGTTTATGAAGTCACCAGACCTGTTTTGATCTTTATCACGTCTGATATTTTCAAGTTATCTTTCGTTTGACATCACATGCCTCTGGCATTAACTGAATATAGCCTATGTGCCCTCTAATTTTATTCATTCACTTTCTTTTCGACTTAGTCCCTTTATTAATCCGGGGTTGCCACAGTGGAATGAACCCCCAACTTATCCAGCACATGTTTTACGCAGCGAATGCCCTTCCAGCCGCAATCCATCACTGAGAAACATACACACTCATTCACGTATACACTATAGACAATTTAGCCTACCCAATTCACCTATACCACATGTGTTCAGACTTGTGGGGTAAACCGGAGCACCCGGAGGAAACACACGCAAACACGGGGAGAACATGCAAACTCCACACAGAAACGCCAACTGACCCAGCCGAGGCTCAAACCAGCAGCCTTCTTGCTGCGAGGCGAAAGTGCTACCGGCTCCGCCACCACACCCTCTAATTTAATGTACTTTAAGAAATTATTATACATGCTTTAATGTAATGTTGTTTCATGCTGCTTTCTTTCCATAGCCCATGTGTCAGGCAGCTTATGATGATGACATCCACAAACTGAAAGAACTCATCTCAGCTGATCCCAGGAACATAAATGCTCAAGATGAAGGAACGGGAGACACACCGATCATAGCTGCCTGTAGACGGGGCAACCTCAGGATTGTAAAATACCTGCTAGATAGCAATGCAAATGTGTCCATAAGGAATAAGGTATTGCATAAGCGTTGAGAGTGAACGCAGTTCTCTTGAGTCATGATTACCATAATGCTGCCATCATATTGTTATGAATGAGTATAGTGTGCAATGATTCATTTAAATGCATGTTGCCTGACTCACTCTGTGGTACATTTTATCTATGATTGTTTATTTCATGTAGTTTTTTGATATATGTGGCGTATATATAATATATGTATCTCTTCCTTTAGAAACAAAGGACTTGTTTGCACTATGCTACAAGAAGAACCTTTTCCTTCTTGGACTACCTGATGATTGCCATTTTAATGCCTATTTTGCTCATTGGTTTTCTTATATTGGTAAGTTGTGGTATTTTAATGTCTAAAATGCATTAATAATTGAAAATTTATCTGAATGAGATTAGGAAATATTTTTTAAAGATTGCTTTATAGGCATAGAAAGTGTGCTAGTTTTACAAATATAAAGCGTTTTACCCTTTTTATTTCAAAAGGAAGAGAAGCAAAGAAAAAATGTGAAGTTGATGGAGTTTTTGTTGGCCACTAAAGTGGATGTAAATGCTGTAGACTATGTAAGTAAAACACTTTTTTTCAAGTCAAGGGTATTAAAATCTTTGACAAAGTTTTGTGCTAAAAAGATGTTCATGTTATAATGTGTGTATCGTTGCATCTTTTTTAGAAGGGGAACACTGGACTTCACTATGCGTGCCAAAGAAAAAGTCAAAGGATTATTCCATTGTTACTGCAGAGGAATGCAGATGTTTCAATACAGAACAAAGTAAGTTAATTATGTGGGCATTGGAAGGGCCAGACAGAATCAGTGGATATTTTTTTGCTATTTCATTTTGAATTTTGTTGAAAATATGCAGAATGATTTTAGGAGTATCGTAACTAAAAACTGAATATATAAAATAAAAATAACTTTTGAACTTTTATTTAATGTTTACAATGCAGATCCACTTACTTGGTCAACAAAGCAAGTCCGAAAAATATTACTTTACAAACTGTATTGTACATAAATCGAATCAACAGGTTCATATCAGTCAATTTTACTACTGAAAGTAATCAATGATGGCCTTAAAATCTGTGGATTTCTGTGCATACAGATTCCGGGTCGGCCTAGTCATTGGCCATTACTTGAACATGAACTAACTTTTATCAGTGTATTGAGACATTCAGTTGTCATTGCATCACATCATATGAATGCAATGACAGGTGCCATAGTTTTGTTGTAAGCCATTTAGGAGTAAAACAAAATCATAAATTGTTTTTCAGATCATGTCAGCTTGTTATACTGAAGATTATTTCAAGCAAAAATGAAAATTATAATATTATTTTCTTACCCACATATATGAACATATCATATTAATGTAACATTGTTTAATCATCAGAATGAAAATGAAGATATTTTAGATGAAATCTGAGCTCTCTCATCTTTTATAGACATAGTCTAGTGACATTCATTCAAAGTCCTGAAAAGGAACCAATCACTTTCCATGGGTCTCTAGTGGTTGAATGCAAATAAATTAAATAAAAACAGCTCCATGAACAATTTTGTGCACTGAAAAACTGCAAAAACCTTTGTCAGGGTGTATGTTTACTAAGGGCAGTATGGGACTTGTGTGTTGCGCTGTTGACTCTAATAACAAAACGTTATATTGCGTGTAATAAGTGTGCACCCTCCCCTAACATGAAAGAGAAAACATAGGCAAGCTTAGTTTTATTTACAGTTTTTAAATGGCTCTCAGATTCCATCTAAAATATCTTAATTTATGTTCCAAAGAAAGTCTCAGAGAATTGAAACAACATGAGGGTGAGCAATTATAGCTGAATTAATTTTTAGGTGACTTTTTAACTTTTACCAGATAATATTATTTTAGTTTTTTTTTTAAAGTAATGAAACTTGCCAAAGATGTGAAATTTGTGTTGATCTTTTTTGCATGTAATCTAAATCTTTAAAATGATGCGATGGGTTGTTTGACTTTTTTTTCCCTTTTCTCCCCTTCTCCTATCTTCTCTTACAGAATCGGGAAACTCCACTAGATATTGCACAGAAACACAAATTCCTAAAAATTGTTTCAATGTTAACAAAGTCAATGTGAGTATTAATGGAGCACTGGGGTCCTGCACAATTCACCAGATGAGTTTTAGTTTTGATGTGCACCAAATATTTTTTTTCTGCGCAACAAATATTGTTACATGTGATGTTCTGAAACTACATTTTCTCTGATGAAAATGCTGTATGTAAACATTTGATTTACTGATTTGTTGAGACTTTTCAGACATATCGTGGTTTGTTTTAATGTTCAAGTTTGCTTTTATCACTGTACAGTATAAAATGTATTTCCAAAAAAAAAAAAAAAAAGCTCACTACTTTCTATATACATGTCTTCTGTGTTTATTGGGATATATCACATGATTTAAACAATCCTACCAAAACATTAAAATAAATGATGAAATGCTACAGTTTGAAGATGTAGTGGTTAGTAAAAGCTACAGTTAAAACATTAAACAAGTGCATGTACTTTAAAGGACATTAAAAACGACACCTGATCTTGAGTGTTAAACAGTCTCTGTATGATGGCACAGAAAGACTTCCATTGGTTTTTAAGATCAAATTTACATTCGTAAAATGTTGATTGGGTTACCAGCACCTCAAACAAATGGTTCATCTGCTTACAGTATAAACAAACAAAGAGGTAGAAAAGCATTAGTTAAGGCTCAAAGAATGCTGATAAAACCTGCTGCTCAATCAAAAGCTTTTTTCACTCGCTCAGTCCAAATGGGAGGATTTGTGTTTAGTTGGAAAACACCTTTTTTTTTTCTTGACCTGATCACATCTAATTTTACTTGGACATGCGCAAAAATCAGATTTGGACTGATAGTCTAAACAAAGTTAATACTGTATGTCTCTTCAAACATTCTCCCTCATTATTTCGATCATTTTCTCATACATCTCTTGTGGGGCGTCCATCCCCCAGATAAAATCCAGGTGCTCCCAGTGCTTAATGTCGCGTTTATACACCAATTTAGGGATCTGTGTTAGCAGCAAAGCCACATCCTTGGGATCTGCCAGAGTGTCCTGTCCACCAGACCACACAGCTGTGGGTACCGTCATGTCCTGGATGTTGTAAAGTGGAGGGGTCGACTAATAGGGGAAAAGCAGGAACAGAAAACTTAGGCATTGATCAGTTGTACCACAGACTCTAAGGGTGCTTTAACAATAGCACTTTTGGTCCGCACCCGGGTTGATTTGACGTCAGAGTATGGTACGTTCATCTAGTGTGAACGTGTCTTCTGAACTCTGGTGCGTACCAACAAACCATACCAGAGTCCGCCTAAAAGAGGTGGTCTGGGGTACAGTTCATGCAAACTCTGGTCCGGTTCACTTCTGGTATGAATTCAACCGTACCAAAAAACGAAAGTGAACCACCAAAAGTACAACAAACTATAGTTTTCATAACGTTCAGTAGTGTGCGTCTCTGTGTATCACATACTGTGCCCTTGCTCAGTCCTGTTTATCATCAAGGTAATCACAGTGATTATGTCTACTCGTCTCCTCCAAAAACGACATTGCATGATGTTCTGAACATTTATAATATTTTTGCACCAGATGGACACGAGTTGCTTTCTGTATGTCCAAAACCAAAAGATTCAATAAAAGCAGAACGACTGCGATGTGTGAACGTCTTTTCATTTTGGTGATTTGCTTTCGTGTCCACCACCTAGCAACGCATTGACGCAAGCGTACCGGGGTTCAGAAGGAAAAAAGATGGTTTGAACACAAACCAACCGAGAAGGTGGCAAGAGGCGACAATCAAACTTGAGTACGGTCCAGGCAAATGAACCAAGTGTGAAAGCACCCTAATTCTTCAATGTTGTGAGTAACAACACTCAAGGGGCCTCATGTATCAACGCTGCGTACACACAAAAACTTTGGGTACGCCAGGTTTCACGCTCAGAATCGCTCACGTTTGGATTTACTAACAATGAACTGAACGTGGGAATGTGCGCAGCTTCACGGCAGCTTTTTGGCTGGCGTACGCACATTTTTTGTGCGTGTCTGTTTTATTTCCATTGGCGACTCCTAGAGGAAGTTGTGTTATATTCCTCTCTACAAAGTGTCTGAGCCTTGCAATGGCAGCTGTATGAGACGGGTTCATCTAGCAGGTAAATAAGGTTTCCATACCATACAGTTGAGCAGCTAAACATTAAAGCACAATTTGCAGCGGTCGCCTGTTTTCCCAATGTAATCTGAGTGATCTACTGCACGCACATTGCTATAAAGACACTATCTGAAGATGAATTTGCATTCGTGAATCAGAAACATTTCCATTTAATAAATGTGCAAATAAAATATGCACAAACTTATTGATGATTCCTACTTGTCTTTCTCGTGATAAATAGTAGGCAAAATCTGATATGTAGCGGGGGAAAAAAAGAAGAAAGAGTTCATCAGACGCTGGATTCGAGCCGAATTCATGCTCGAACGTGTCAAAACATGATCACATGCGTCTTACGAGCGCGCCACTGAGACTGTTAAGAGTGCTGCAACATTTTACAGATATAAACCAGACTATTTATTTTTTTTAATGCACTCAGTGCGATGTTCAGACCTAACTGTGTTAACCGCATCAGCTAAACTCTCCCACTCTATTTTTTTTCTTTTGTTGTTAATTCCGGAGAACAAACTTGCAAATAACACCGCTTTTCTCCGGTCTACCTCCGAAAGCAGCACCTCCAATTCACATTCTGTTCAAAGTTTCTCTTTTTGCTTGCTTTTGCCATTGCTTTTTCGTCGGGTTTTTCCATTAGCATAGTCATTAGCATATTCATACAGGGGAGGAGGCAGGGAGGGGTTTTGCGCTCGTGCATGTTGTGCTCAGTTTCACGTTCATTCGGATGTACAAAAGAATATGCGTGAGATTCGGCGTACGCAGTGTTTCATACATCTGAATTTTTTTCTGCGTACGCACATTTACAGCTTTGTGCGTACGCAATGTTTTAGTAAGATTTCCACGCAAGTCTTCGTACATGAGGCCCAAGATGTTCAAAAACACTGTGGGTTGCTGTGTTAAATGTATAAATATTAGTTTATTGTAAGAAAAGGTTTCAAGGCATAGTCTGTGAAATTGCCACCATTTCGTCACTCTCATGTCAGTCCAAACCTGCACATGTATGCTTTACCTTTTTCTATGGAACTTAAGATTTTGAAGAAATGTGTTGAGAGTTATGCCTCTCTACTTTTTGACTTCCATTGTATAGAAAATTACAGTGGACGAAAAGTAATGCATACAATCATGAGACTAAATAATGACAGAATGTTCGCTGTTAGGTGGTCTTCAAGGGTTAAGGGGAGAACAGTTTTATTCCATAAAATTACCTGATTATAATGTGCCATATTTCCAGCTCTTCCATAATCGTATGCCATGAGCTTACTGGATTTCACAGCCTGTACAAAGAATACACAAAATATTTTTAAAAAGAAAGGCAAGCTACAAAGGAAACAGAACTTTCATATGATTTGAGGTTGCCTTCATTATCAAAGAGCAACGTCAAAATACCTTCAATATAGGCAAAGCACATTTCTATAGCACATTTCATACACAGTGCCACAGTGCTTTACATAAACAAGAATATGAGAAGTATAATTTTTTTTTTTAAATAATAATAAAAAAAACATTATAAAAGAACATAATAGTGCGATCTGTCAGACGTAGCACTTTGGTCATTCAGTAAAGGCACAGTTAAACAAATGTGTTTTCAGTGTTGATTTGAATGTGCCTAATGTTGGAGCACATCTGATCATTTCTGGAAGCTGATTGCAGGGGTGAGGGGCGTAGTAGCTGAAGGCTGATTCACACTGCTTTTACTGAACTCTTGGAAATTCTAGTTTATATGATCCTAAAGATCTGAGTGATCTGTTAGGTTTGTATTCAGTAAGCATATCTGTAAAGTATTTGAGGGCCTAGGCCATTTAGAAATTTATAGACAAGTATTAATACTTTAAAATCAATTCTAAATGTAACTGGAAGCCAGTGTAAAGACATGAAGACCGGTGTGAAGTGCTCTGATTTTCTGGTTCTGGTCAGAATACTGGCAGCAGCGTTCTGGATGAACTGAAACTGTCTGACTGTCTTTTTGGGAAGACAAGTGAGGAGTCCATTACAGTAATCCACCCTGCTGCTGATAAAAGCATGAGCAAGTTTCTCCAAGTCCTGAGTGGAAACAAAGCATCTGATTCTTGCAATGCTTTTGAGATGATAGTATGCTGATTTACTAACTGCTTTGACATGACTATTGAAATTCAGATCTGACTCCAGAGTCACACCAACATTCTTGACCCTAATTATATATATTATAAATATTGTTTAACTGTTAGAGCCAAGGTACGCATTCACCTTGAGAACCTCATCTCTGTTCCCAAACACAATGACTTCAGTTTTCTCTTTGCTTAACTGAAGAAAGTTTTCACACATTCAACTGTTAATTTCATAAATGCATTTGTTAGAGGGTGTCAATAGTAGTCATAAGGCAGTATGGTTAAGTAGTTCTGAGTGTCATCAGCATAGCTGTGGTAGGAGATTTGTTTTTTTCACATTATTGGGAGCATATAAAGGTTGAACAAGAGAGGGGCCAGAATTGAGGCTTGTGGGACTTCACATGTCATGGATGTCCACCTTAACTTATGATCAACTATACGGACATAGTAACCTCTCCTTTATCATAAGGAATGAAAATATCATGTTAGCTGACTCTTAATTTACAGTTTTTCAGTAAAACAATATTTTTAGATTTTTAAAACCAATTTCCTTTGGTATCCATATAATAAAAGTCAGTGGGTGCCATAACTGAGATTTAAAAAAAAAAACATGCATAAAAATCATAATAACTACCTTCAATTCCTGATGATGAGATGAGGTCTAATAGACTGAAACATTCCCTCAGTGCAACAAACTAAACATTATTTACAACTTTATTATCTGTTATTTACAGACTGGCTAAATGGCTTTGAGCATACACTCAAGTATGCACTATGAATGTCTTGTTGCATAACATGTTCATGTCGTGTCCTTTCCGTAACAACGCTGCATTCCAGACATGGTACATTCCAAATGGGACACATCATCCTCTAAAGGAAACTTTGAAGTAAAATCATTCATGGCTGCCATATTGAAGTGTTGTTTCTTACCAAAGTACTCAAAACTCAAACTCAAAACTTTGAAGTGCCCTTCGGAATGTAGGATTTTAAAGAGTACAATGTATGGACATTTCTGGCACTTAAGACACTTTGTGCAGAAACATTGTTTGATGTCAAACACTGCAAACCATTTGGAATGGCTCATCCTTATGCCCCAAATCCCTTAAAATCTGTTACGCTGAAGGTAAAATTCTTTGAATCGATTAGTGCAACGATGGCCAAACTAGGGCCCACGGGCCAAAGTTGGCCCATGGTAACCTTTAAGTAGGCCCACCATCCCGACTGAGATGAGAGGAAGAATGATGTGAAGGGTTGGATGCCTTTAACAGAGATCATAATTTTTAATTTAACAGAACCCATTTGGTTGGTTTTGTTACTGAGCTACAAAAAAGCAAACTGAAATTAAAGGTTTTAATTACATGTTTGTAAATAAATTTGGATAACTCCCAATTCCAAGTTGTCTGAAACGCAGCATAAGTAAACCCAAGTGTGTCAGCTCAACTGTGAATTTGCATGTAATACATCATTATGCAACGAGACTCCTTTGTAGTGCATACTCCAGTGTACATGCTCAAGGCCATTTGTTCAGGCTCTGAATACCAGGTAATAAAGTTTGATAAGTAATAATAAAAAGTAAATCATTTTCAGTTTCTAGCAATCGTTTTGGTTCATTAAACCAAAACCTGCAGTAGTTATAATTTGCATGGCTATGTTTTTGAATCTCAAACTAATGGTGCTTGCTGATCTTCATTATATGGATAGCAGAGGACAACAGTTTCAGCTAGAAATCTCCTTTAATGTGCTACTGCAGATGGAATGTTGCCTACATCTTGGATCGCCTGAGGGTGAGTAAATGTACAGGAAATTTCTTCTTTGGTTGAACGATCACTTTAACTCACTAGATTAGAATGTGAAACTGTTTAACACAGTGGATCTCAAACATGTTCCTGGAGCCCACCCTGGACTGCACATTTTGCATGTCTCCTTTGTCTCAAACAACCATTTCAGGTCCTTAAGTTGAATCAGGCATGTTTGACGAAGGACACAAGCAAAACATGAAGTGTTGGAGAGGCCTCAGGAATGTGGTTGAGCACCACTAGCCTAGCCAAATTAATTATTTAGCATATATTAAAAAAATTGTCAAAAAAAATCACTTTAGATACTTATTCACCTTTATTTGTATAGCGCTTTTACAATGTAGATTGTGTCAAAGCAGCTTCACATAAAAAATCATAGTAAATTGGAACAGTGTAGTTCAGTTTTTTTAGTGCTACTGAGGGTCTAAACACTGGAGAGCAAATCCATGCAATCCAGCAAATCGATGCGTAGCTCTGCAGATCCCAAACCATGCAAGCTAGTGGCGCCAGCGGAGAAGAAAAAAAAAACTTCACAAATTGGCGAAAGTAAAAAAAAAAAAAAAAACCTTGAGAGAAACCAGTCTCAGTTGGGCACTACCATTTTTAATTTCTCTGCTGGCCAAACGTCTTGTGCAGAGCTGTAGTCTCAGCGGCGGAGGCTGGAAGCTTATCTACATAATAAGAAGGTTCTGAATATACCAAAAATCTATATATTTTTGAAAATATTCACTCATCTTCAATCTGTTTAAAACATAAAGGTATACAATTTAAAGTAGTACACAGATTATATTTGTCCAAAGTGAACTAGCCAAATTTAAACCGAATATAAAGCCTAATTGTGACAGATGTAATATTGAACAAGCTACACAATCTCATATGCTTTGGGCTTGCTCAAAATTAAAGGATTTTTGGCAGCTAATATTTCAATTTCTGTACAGCATGTTTCATACAGTATCTAATATGTTCAATAAAAACACTTTTAAGAAAAAAAAAAAAAGAGTACATTATTGGTCAAAAGTTTGGGGTCAGTTTTTTTTTTATCATGTTTTAAAAAACTATTCATCTGTTCATTAAGGTGGCATTTATTAAATGTAAAAATATTTATTTATTACTTATTGTGTGTAGTTTCAAATGAATTTATTACTCCAGTCATTATTGCTTTCATTACATTAATAATAATTAATATTAGAGTGATTTCTGAAGGTTCATGAGACACTGAAGACTAGAGTGCTGAAGCTGAAAATTCATCATTAAAATCACTGGAATAAAGAATTAAATTATAATTATAATCTACTTTTGAACAGTTATTTTATAGTGCAATAACATTTCACAATTTTACCATTTGTACTCTATTTTTGATCAAAATAAATGCAGCCTCGGTGAGCAGAAGAAACATATTTTAAAATATTTTAAAATCCTATTTACCCCAAATTTTTACACATACACCGGTAGTGTATATATTTGATTAAAAAAAAAAGAAGTTTACTGAGCAGACATGGCAATTGATACCTAACATAAATTTAACTGATAGTGTTTGAGGTTTTGCAGTTTTGGTGTGGCAGTGTCAACCAGACACATACATACATACATACATACATACATACACACACATATATATACATATACATATATACATGTATGTATGTGTATATATATATATATATATATATATATATATATATATATATATATATATATATATATATATATATATATACACACACACACACACACACACACACAGTTGAAGTCAGAATTATTAGTATGAAGGTAAATCAGTTGCGTAACTCGAGAGCTTGCAAATGTAAATGTGAGCACTTGTGATAATAATATTTGTATGTGTAGGTTGAAATGTACACTTACAGCTCTGATGTGAACAGCTGAATCCCTCGATTTGCACACACACACAACAATCCACACACTTGTGTTTTAAATTGGAAGTTGCAGATTAATAGTTGTGTATTTGTAAAATGTCATTTACAAATACAAAATGACAGACACACGTGTGCACGGCAAATTTGATTGCATCTTATCTCTACAACCACAGGTCGGCACTCACAACCTCTCAGTTTCGTCAGTACAACTACAAATCTCCCGCGCTCTGACTTTTGCTACACATCTCCCGCGATCTCTGTAGCAGAACCCATCTGTGCACTTGCAAATGCAGAGGCGTGAGCAGCGCGGGGCGGGGGAGGGGCGGGGCAGGTGTAAAGCTGTTTGATTGGCTGATGCCTGACCAATGAACAATGCCAGCAGCCAACAGGACTGAGGTCTGAGGTGCAAAAGAATCATTTCCCACGATTATTTTATTATTTAGGGTTTATTTCAACTCTTTTCTGAAGAGATTCTTGTTAAAAATCATTAATTTTGCGGAAATGTACATACCAGTAAAAGAGCAGCAAAGCCAGTTTATTGGCTAGAGCCAGCCAATGAGATGGGGCGTTTCTGTTTGTCAGGACACAGGGCAGCTCACGTTGTTGGAGGCCTCGAGCAATCAGAGGGTAAGTTATGATTTTTAATAATTATCTATATGTTCAATACTGTTAGCTAAGCTAAGGACTGTGCTAGGTGCTTCTCTAGTTTGTTTTTTTTTATATAAGAAACAGTTATGAGTTATGTAGGAGTTGCTTTCTATCATGTTATATCGTTCTAAAGATACAATTCAACCCACATGAAATAAGTTATAATAGTATTTATAGTAAATAATATTACGTTTTTGAACCATACTAACTATAGTAAACTGTATTATACTGTATATACTGCAGTATCTACAACTTTGTTAATGAATGCAACAGCACACTGTAATATTAACTAGCATGAACTTTAATAAATTGAAGTATATTTACACACACATTAATAACAATTAAAAATAACACTAGGCGTTTCAGTTTCTCACTGATTATACCGGTTTTTGTTATAATAACCTGCATCATGGCTATCTATCCATCTATCTATTTACATGTTTGTGTACAGTGTGTCCTTTATATCACTTTTTTAATTATGAAAGTTACTAACAATAGGTTATTTCTCAGTTTCCTGTAAGGATGGAGTGACAGGAGAGATCAGCATGTTTCAAGTCGATGAGGAACTCAGAGAAGCTGCATAGCTTGAATAGGATGTTATTTATGCTAAAGATGACATGAGGATCCAGCTCATCTACAAACACTTCAAAATGATTCAGATCATTCAAGAGGAAGCCGACCATTTGTTTTCTCTTTTTACCTGCCAAGATGACTACAGATTTGAACAAAACACACACTCACCAACACACAACTTTTATTTTGATAATTGTTTAATGTAGTATTTTTACACTTTACTGTAAAGTAGGGCTGTCAAACTTAGTTCCTGGAGGGCCGTAACCCTGCACATTTTTAGTTTCAACCCTGCTTCAACACACTTAAGTGAAAGTTTCAAACAAACCTGAAGTTTGATCAGGTGTGTTTAATTAGGGTTAGAACTAAACTTTGCAAAGCTGCAGCCCTCCAGGAACTGAGTTTGACACCTGTGCTGTAAGGGAAATGTTTAACATTAATTTGTCAAATAAAATTTACAGTGCAAATAAGTGCAGTGCAAATGTCTAGTTACTTGTATTGAAATATTTCAGGGTTTTTCCTTGTTCATAATGAGATGGAGGTGGTAAATCCAACTTCATCATTACCCATCAAATGTTATCTCCTCTTTAATCCTTTGCTCAAACCTTTAGTAATGGGCAAAAAGCAAGCCATTGTGTAAAGCTGGTTGATGCTCGCTGTAATAGAGAGAGATGATGACTGTTCAGCTTATGTTGCTTAACCCTGCAGATGAGATGCTCAAAGTGGACCCTCAGCCGAGCGATGGACACTGTCTCCCTCACCTAGTTGCTCTTCCTTTGAACACACATATCATGTTGAAGGATGCAAGTTGTGGACCTAAATCAGATGTAATGGATGTAGATGTATAAATCAGAAAGAAATGAAACTGCTTTAAAATGTATTAGGTTTTACATATAAATATGTGTTCTTAACAGATTTGTTTCAACTTGATATTTGCATAATAAATGACATTAGAATGTTTAGTTTTAAACAGATAGCTATATTTCAATCTTATCAAATTTAAGCTATATATATATATATATATATATATATATATATATATATATATATATATACTTCAATTTATTAAAGTTCATGCTAGTTAATATTACAGTGTGCTGTTGCATTCATTAACAAAGTTGTAGATACTGCAGTATATACAGTATAATACAGTTTACTATAGTTAGTATGGTTCAAAAACGTAATATTATTTACTATAAATACTATTACAACTTATTTCATGTGGGTTGAATTGTATCTTTAGAACGATATAACATGATAGAAAGCAACTCCTACATAACTCATAACTGTTTCTTATATATAAAAAAAAAAACTAGAGAAGCACCTAGCACAGTCCTTAGCTTAGCTAACAGTATTGAACATATAGATAATTATTAAAAATCATAACTTACCCTCTGATTGCTCGAGGCCTCCAACAACGTGAGCTGCCCTGTGTCCTGACAAACAGAAACGCCCCATCTCATTGGCTGGCTCTAGCCAATAAACTGGCTTTGCTGCTCTTTTACTGGTATGTACATTTCCGCAAAATTAATGATTTTTAACAAGAATCTCTTCAGAAAAGAGTTGAAATAAACCCTAAATAATAAAATAATCGTGGGAAATGATTCTTTTGCACCTCAGACCTCAGTCCTGTTGGCTGCTGGCATTGTTCATTGGTCAGGCATCAGCCAATCAAACAGCTTTACACCTGCCCCGCCCCTCCCCCGCCCCGCGCTGCTCACGCCTCTGCATTTGCAAGTGCACAAATGGGTTCTGCTACAGAGATCGCGGGAGATGTGTAGCAAAAGTCAGAGCGCGGGAGATTTGTAGTTGTACTGACGAAACTGAGAGGTTGTGAGTGCCGACCTGTGGTTGTAGAGATAAGATGCAATCAAATTTGCCGTGCACACGTGTGTCTGTCATTTTGTATTTGTAAATGACATTTTACAAATACACAACTATTAATCTGCAACTTCCAATTTAAAACACAAGTGTGTGGATTGTTGTGTGTGTGTGCAAATCGAGGGATTCAGCTGTTCACATCAGAGCTGTAAGTGTACATTTCAACCTACACATACAAATATTATTATCACAAGTGCTCACATTTACATTTGCAAGCTCTCGAGTTACGCAACTGAATTACCTTCATATATTAGCCCCACTGTTTATTTTTTCCCCAATTTTTGTTCAACAGAGAAGATTTTTCAACACATTTCAGCACATAATAGTTTTAATAACTCATTTTTAATAACTAATTTATTTTGTCTTTGCCATGATGACAGTAAATATTATTTGACTAGATATTTTTCAAGACACTTCTATACAGCTTAAAGTGACATTTAAAGGCTTAACTAGATTAAATAGGTTAACTAGGCAGGTAAGGGTAATTAGGCAAGTCATTGTATAACAATAGTTTGTTCTGTAGACTATTGAAAAAAATATAGCTTAAAGGGGCGAAAAGTTTTGTCCTTAAGATAGTGTTTAAAAAATTTAAAGCTGCTTTTATTCTAGCTGAAATAAAAAAATAAGACTTTCTCCAGAAGAAAAATATTTTCAAACATACTGTGAAAATTTCCTTGATTTGTTAAACATAATTTGGGAAATTTTTTAAAAAAAAAGAAAAAAAATATTTAAAGAGGGGCTAATAATTCTGAATTTAACTGTATATCACAGAATAACAAAATATTGCAGTCAGATTTTTCAGTATCGTGCAGCCCTACCTTTTATTAATGAACTTTTTTTGTTGTTGCACACAAAACTTCATATTCTGAAGAGTGTTAAAAAAGCAGATATTGACATCCATAGTAAAAGGCACTACACATCCATAAAAGGCACTACACATAATATAAGTAATAATAAATTGTAGTAATAATACAATTTGAATGTGAAATATGCCTTGAAAAATCCATACCAGTATGCAAATATCTCCCCTCTTCCCCTGCTGTGAACACATCAGAAGCAATGTGGTCGAGCAGGTTCAGAGAAATGTTAAACCCATCTGAGTACAGCTGCAGGGTTTACCTAAAAGCCCCTATATTCTGACGCTTCAGTGCCTGTTTGATCACACTGATACAAACAAATTAAGTGAAAATAACTCTCACAAGCTCATAATATAGAGATGATTTAGAATAGGTTGCAGATCAAGGTCAAAAACAAGTGTCAGATAAGTTAGCTATGTTTCCATCCAGAAATGCTAATTAACTTTGCGCAAAACAGAAATATCGCATAAAAGACATGCGAATGAAGCAATGTTTTCATCCAACAAGTCAAAGAGTACAAAATCATCACTTCCTGGTTAACTGGTGCCAAATATCAACAGTAAAATCAGAATTTGCTGCAGTAGGAGAGACTACGTTATTTTTTTCTTCATCTAATAAATGACTTGCGCCTAAAAAGGCAATCCTGTCAATCCTGAACATGCGGTGGTGTTTGAATGAGTGAAACACAGAGCACAGACACTCTTGAGGTCATTAATAATATAATAACACTAAAAATGAAATGGTTAAGGCATTTTAGGATAACCAAAACAACATTTCAGATGTTTTACAATGTGCTCAGCCTGCTGCTCTGTCCATTCACACACGTTTTAATCATCACATGATCTCTTATAACAAAATCATATGACCTTTTTAATGCGCATGCTGGAATTTGTTTGGTAAAAGTGTTTCGACCGCAGTTTATGAGCATCTATTCTTATCAAATAAAAAGTTTATGCTACTCTGTTATGTTTTTTATGGGCATTTTCTAAATATATGTTCATCTTGAAGTTTCCATCAACAGGTTTTGTATGCGCACATCCAAAATGCGTATAAAAATAGGTGGATGGAAACGTAGCTATTGTGAGTTTTATTTAACTTTTTTTTTACCTGAGCCCAGTGAATCATGTTCTGGACGGAGGTTCCTGCTGGACAGTGTGTCGTATACACAGGTGTTCTACTCTGAAAGAGAAAAAAAAGATAGAAACATTCCCAAATGGGTAAAAAAAAGATAAAAAAAATAATGTCATTTGATAACACAAGTTTGCTCTACCATGTTCAGGTTCTTCTCATCAAAACCGCAGAGAAGAAAGAAGACGTTTCCACACAACACACTCAAAGGCTTCCTGCTGCAGAACTCAGTGGCGAAAAACTTGATCAGTTCATTCTGAGGAAAAAAGTCTTTTTGACCAAAGAGATCCTACAGAAGAAAAAAAAATCATTATTACAAGTGAGGATATTATAACTTGCTTGTGGCTTTTAAGTTCATTTCAACATTTCTTTGTAGATTGGGCCACAATCATCAAAACTTTTAAATGAATACATCTTTGTTTTTCTGTGTCATTTTTGTATTTTCTGAGCAAAAAAAAAAAAGTGTAAAAAATTGTTTACATCCCAAACAATCTTGTCATTTAAACAAAAAATCATTGTATGAAATTATAAAGGACTTTGTTTGAGGATCACAGTTCAGCCCCTATATATGAAGCAATACTTTCTACCTTAAACATTTCCCTATCTCTAGGTTCTAACCATTTGTTTTTAATTTCAGTTATAACCAAATTTAGTATGATCACCTATTCCTTTTGGTTTTAATAAATATGGGTAGGAATAAATAAGTATACCACTGTTCTGTTATACAGAATGATGATGGAAGCCATAATTTGTCATTTTTTTATTTTCAGAAATATTATTTGACATACGAGTACTGTAGACTTTTACTTGACCTATTATCCTTTCTAAAGAATAAATACAACATTTTAAAAATGTATTAACAGTATTAGGGTCAGAAGTTGAATCATTAAATATAAAAAAACACAGATTAGTCTTCATTGTATAAATAATCCAATATAATTTGTTTCTTAAACCTACAGATTATTCAATTTCTTGTACCCGAATGCTTTAAACTCTCATGAAATGCTCACAGACACAGACATCTCATTCACTCATTTCCCTTTGGCTTAGTCCCTTATTTATTAGGAGTGATCACAGCGGAATGAACCGCCTAATATTTCAGCATATGTTTTACCCAGTGGATGCCCTTTTAGCCATAATGCAGTACTGGAAAATACCCATACACTCTCACATTCACACACACACTCATACTCTACAGCCAACTTAGTTCATCCAAATCACCTATACCACATGTTGTTGGACTGTAGAGGAAACAAGAGCACCCGGAGAAACCCACACAAACACAGAAAGAACATGCAAAATGCTGAAAGCATATATTGTGCAGCCCAACTGCTTACCCAAATCAGAAACTCTGGAATTACTGACAGTTTGGTCATCGGGCTTTTGGTCATCCCCACTGTGGCAACAGGAGCCAGTGCAAAGAACATCTTGATTTTGCTGGCCAGCTCAGGCATTGTGGAGAAAGCCATGAATGCTGAAAAAAAAATGTAAAAAGGGAAGTTACACACCAACAAGTCATGCATAGCAAACAAAAAAGAAAAGTGTACTGTAACTGCTGGAAACTGATATATTAGCACATTATAAAATGTGCATTGTATTTGCCTACTGTGCAAAAAAAATTCATAATGAACGACATCTCTGAGCTGATTTTCTAGACTATTGATTTGATGAATACCAGTCCAGAGCCACATTCTTACAGATCAAAATAATCCATGGGTAGAGAATTGGTGATACCTATTGTTGTTCCCTGAGAATGGCCCACGTAAAAGATTTGTTCCTGGCCAGTCATCTTTGTGATGAAGTTTATCACTGCAGGAAGATCCTTTTTAGCCATTTCATCATGACTGCCATACGCACACGCAAACACACACACACACACACACACACACACACACACACACACACACACACACACACACACACACACACACACACACACACACACACACACACAGAGAGAGAGAGAGAGAGAAAGAGATAAAGAGAAAAACAGATTTACAGTTCTGGAAGGTACATTATTAACTCAACAGAGAATTCCCAAAATAAGAATGAGATTTGCATGTCCTGGAGGAAATAGCAAAGGTTTGCAAGGCAATAATAAGAATAATGCTAGAGTTTGAGAGAGAACTATCATGGTTTCAAAGATATCATTTCCAAAGAGGAAATAAATAAAATATAAATCATAATTAAATATACGATTACTATATACAGTTCACTTCAAAAGTGATAGTAATGATGTGTAATACAATGTTACAAAAGATTACTATTTCAAAAATATATGATCTGATCTAATCTAAACCATGCATGTATCAAAAAAGAGATGAAACTTTATCATATTTTACTGTAGTAAATTATTTCAAAAAATTTATTTCTGTATATACTCCGAGCACACATACAGTATATATGATGTAAATTCAAAGTCTTATCTTGGATGCAATTAATCATGATGAATAGTTTGACAGCACTAATTACTGCAGAAAATAACTCATTTAAACTATTAAATGTAATCTTAATTAGCCAATAATTGCTAGGACAGTAATGAATTAAATGTTCTTTATTAACTTAGTATTGTGCATTAGTGTGGCCACTAATCTGGCTATCATTACGTTTATCTATTCAATTACAATTCCAGTTGTGAATAGGCCTTAAATAGAACATTATGTAAGATTTTATTTTCATCAAAATATCTAAAAAAACAACACTCAAATATTTTTAAAGTAAAATACTGTCAGGGTGGCACGGTGGCTCAGTGATTAGTACTGTTGCCTTACAAGAAGGTGGTAGCTGGTTCAAGTCCCGGCTGGGTCAGTTGGCATTTCTTCCTCCGGGTGCTTCCCCCACAGTCCAAAGACATGCACTATAGGTGAATTGGATAAACTAAATTGGCCGTAGTGTATGAGTGTGTGTATGTGAATGTGAGAGTGTATGGGTGTTTTCCAGTACTGGGCTGCAGCTGGAAGGGCATTTGCTGCGTAAAACATACAGTATGCTGGAATAGTTGGAGGTTCATTCCGCTGTGGCAACGCCTAAAAAATATAGGACTAGGCTGAAGGAAATTGAATGAATGAATAAAATAATGTTATATTTTGCAGACATATGTACTTTATCAACGATTTTAAAAATTCATAGAAAAAAAGAATCATGACAAAACTGGAAGGGTTGGAGTGGACTGTGGTATAATAAAAGCTCTGCTGCTTTTGTATTTATCAGCGCTCTTTCACTTTGACGACTTTCAGCTGGGGATAGACGATTAATCAAATTGAAATTGCAAACATGATTAAGCAAAGCTGGGATTGTCATGCACATCTTCTCATGGAAACATGGTGTGATTAGTACTAAATCTCCGGCAAAGGCCAAAGGGCGTTCTCACAAACATACTCAAATTCATATGAAGAAACCCACCAAATCCCCTGGGGAAAATAGTGGCTGCTAAATAAACAGAAGATTTAACTGCTATCATTGATTCAGCATGACTAATAAACACACGACTATCTATCATCTAACAGAAGAATTCATGTCAGACACTCGACTGCTATTTAGGCAAGTTTAAAGTAAAAACATTTTATTTATTTTTACATGCAGTATTTACTATAGCCATAGTTCACTGAGGAGCTTCAAGAATATCTCAATGTCATCAACAAACTAAACCAAATTAAAATTAACAGATTTTTTTTTGCGTAGCTTATCAGTGTATCAATGGTACATTCATACAAGATGTGGATGAAGCATCAAGCATGAGCGATTTACATGTTTAGTCAATGCATAGATGCAATTAGATATCTGTATTGCAATTTACGCAAGGTGGTGATTCCACACTCAGTCACAATGTTATCAAACTACACCTTTGTTAGTTTAGAATACAACCCTCTAGTGGTGAAATGACATGCTGCGCCTTTAAATATGTTGAATATTACACACCACTTCCATAAAAATGTTAGTTTTGTATACCTGAACTTCCAGTATTCTTTCTGTCTTGGGTCAAGGCTGACATGTTTGCAGGACCAGGTGTTCCCGCGACTGTTCCCGATCCATACATCAAATCCAGCATCAGCTAAAACGAATCCCAGACTGTTGTTGGGCAGGTTTGTCACCCAGTTACTTCCAGCAGCGAGAAGACCGTGTTGGAGAAACACTACAGGCTTGACTTCTGTAATAAAAAATCAACGACAATAAAACTTTTAAGTATATTTATGTACTGTACAGATGGTGTGAAATGTAATAAAAATGACTCAATTAAAGTATATGGGCAAAAAATACTTGATTAAAAAGTAAATATGTTCAGCTTTAAAAGGTTAGTATGTATTTATAGGGTAAATACTGTATAGGTTTGCTTAAAATACCAAATGTCCAAAAAAAATTATACTTACATCTATCTACACTACCTGACAGTATTGTCGCCTATTCAAGTTTTAGAAACAACAAATAATAACTTGACTTCTAGTTGATCATTGTGGTATCAGAAGTGGCTTATATTAAAGGCAAAGGCCTCTAGATTACACTCATTGTACCAAAATGAAATATGATCATGTCTTGATTTTTAATTAGGACAGTAAGGTCTGGCTTTACTTAGACAAAAGTCTTCACACTTAACAGAAATAATGTACAGTATAGATTATAAAGTCATGCTGCAGTGGAAAAGATTTATTATTGTGTCTGACTCCCATGAGCTTGGAAGACTGCATCGATACATCAATGACTCAAATAACTTATCAAAGAAAGCTGTCTTGCAGGACTCCCAGAGTTTATCAAGATTCTTTGGATTAATCTTCAATGGCTCCTCCATCTTACCACAGACACTCTCAATAACATTCATATCAGGTGACTGGGCTGGCCAATCCTAGAGCACCTTGACCATGCTTGCCTTCAGGAACTGAAGGCTGAAGTATTAGGAGCCCTATCTTGCTGAAGAATTTGCCCTCTCCTGTGGTTTGTAATGTAAAGGGCAGCACAAATGTCTTGATACCTCAGGCTGTTGATGTTTCCATTCACTCTGCAGATCTCTCACATGCTTCCATACTGAATGTGACCCCAAACCATGATTTTTCCCTTACCAAACCTGACTGATTTATGTGAGAATCTTGGGTCCATGCAAGTAACAATAGGTCTTCTGTAGTATTTGTGATGATTGTGATGCAGTGTAACAGATGATTCATCAGAAAAATCTACCTTCTGCCACTTTTCAAAATGATCAACCAGAAGTCAAGTTATTGTTTGTTGCTCTTACAAATGAGATTGATGACAAGACTTTTGTCAGGTAGTGTATATAGAACAATTAAAATGCTGCAGAGTGGAGAACAAAAATATAGCCCTACTCTGTCCTATTTATGTCACTATACAATAGTCAATATATAAATAAAATGCTGTTTATCCACTTCTGGTAATATTGCAAAGTGTGCTTTACGAATAATGTAACACAGAATATTCCTTAAACACTTTGGGGCGATTTGTAAGAACAAAGGAAAAAATGACTGAAAACAAGGCAGCTTTTTTGTTCATTTTTGTCATGATTAAATAAATCTTATGGTTTAAATGACAATTTTAACAGCATTTTTTGAAGAAAAATCCTCAGTCAACACACTCAAAAATGTTTGTTTTACTCAAACATAAAGCTATAAAATGCAAATGCTGACAAACATCACATTTAATTGTGTTCTCTTCATTTTGTCAATGGCTGTATGGAAAGCTGAAACGATGCTTTTTAAACACACAAAAACACAACACATGTCAACCATGCAATTGATTGTCCGCTAACCATTTTTAATGTGAATAAAATAACATTTAAATATGTTACTACAACTTTTTTTAGTTAAAAACAGTCGTGAGGAGTAAAAAAAGTATGATTTCTTCAGAAATGTGCTCAAGTAAAAGTACATGCAGCCAGTTTGAATTGTAAATAAGTACATTTCCAATACCCACAACTAATACTAGTACAGTAATTAATTACACTTTCTCATGTAACTTATAAACCCCCCGCTGTGTAGCTTTTTTTTAAATTACATGTGTTGCCAGCAGAGGGAGTGTGTGTATATGTTTTATATGGATAATACCATCCCTTCTTTTTTGGGAACTTTATCTGAATATCTGTCAGAAACAGGAAGTGAGCTGGTCCTCTTGGTAGCACAAACAGACCTTGGGCTGATAGCATTGTTTGACTTCATACCAGCCATTCCAAAAACCCTGCAACGTATACAGCAAGGCTTTGGCAATGGTGCAGAGATTTAACATTTTACATAACTGCAAAATAATCCCAAGACGGCAGTTGCACAATGAGGAATGAAAAGGTTTATGGGAAATGAAGTACAAAAGAAGAACAGAAGAAAATCTATTATAAAAGGACTATTATAGTAGTCTAAAACCATAAAATTACAATCCTTTTTTATTACTTAACATAAACATAAAGTGATAAAGCTATCCTTTATTTCAGATAGTTGGCAAGGAAAATAACATTTTATTTGAGTTTTATTTAACTTGCACTCAAATAAAAGTTAAGTACAAAAGACTATTAAAGTTCACTCAGCTTAGTCACTGATTTTATCAAGGGTCACCACAGCAGAATGAACCACCAATTACTCTTGTACATGTTTTATGCAGAGGAATGTCCTTCCAGCCAAAACTTAGTGGTTATTTAAAGGTGCCTTATAAAGAACCATTGTTTCCCTGTTCTCATGTAATTTCTGCGAGTGTGAAAACCTGGTGAAACTAGGCCCATCAGAACACAAAAAAAGACTGTTACATGACTTATGTGGCACGCCTTCAAGATTTGTATGTTCTTTAGGTCACATTCTGGAGCAGCCATAGAGCAGCCGTGTCATCAGCAGATCAAAGTCAAAACACAGACTGAAATATTTCTCTGGGGTCATTAATATGCATGCCTCAGGCTGCGTTAGACAATGTTTCCTAGAGAGACAACAATACCATTTTCCTCCCTTGGTTCTTTTTAAGTTTATATCAAACTAACTTTGTATGTGGGACTCTTATTTTGAGAACAGGAGATGCAGATTGTTTTTTAACCGTAAAGTGTGTTTAACACTTTCATGTGTGAGTTTTAAATACTCCAGCTGACCCTCCTGCGTGATTTTTTTTGTGATCGTTACTCAGGGTGCTTTCACACCTACACTTTTGTTTCGGAACGTGTCTCGTTTGCCCAGTTAGTGCCAAAGTAATCGCTCAGAGATCGCTTGAATGAGGTGGTCTTGGCTCGATTGACATGAACCCTGGAGCGGTTCGATTGCAGTGAGAAAGCGATCCGATCCGAGCGCGGTTATATCACAGTGTTTTATGGATATGTAATAGGCATACCGCTATATGAAGAGAGAATTATGAGTATGGCGGGAAGTTTCGCGAGTCTCCGGATGCCCGCAAATGAGTGATGATCTCCCGGTAATCTCGCGTCTCCCTCCCGGTCCTCAAATAGGCATCGTCGCGCACCCTTCTCACCCCTCCCCACCGCATCTCTCCTCAGACACGTCGCGCACCCTGTAAATCACCACCAAACCACCACCTCTCCTGACAGCTGAGCGGGACGCTGCAAAATACACCCTGACACTCTGACCAATGTGAGGAGAGTTTACTCGCGTGAACCGCTCCAAGAGCAAAGAGCAACAATGTAACATTTGTAATCTCTGTTTCGGAACAACTAAATCGATTCACAAGTGTGAAAGCACCCAAAAGTAGGTTGCACACCAGAAGCGTGACCCACCAGCCCAAATGATCTATTTATATGTTGTATTTTGTTTATTTTTGCTCTTTTTAGTATTGTCAAATGTTCTAATTATATTGTTACATTTCTGATACTCCGATTTCCAAATATGTGATAGAACATATATTTTGTCTTGTGACGCAGTGGCGGGTTAGGTAGTGCTGTCGCCTCACAGCAAGAAGGTCTCTGGTTCTAGCCTCGGCTGGTTAAGTTGGCGTTTCTGTGCGGAGTTTGCATGTTCTCCCTGCGTTCACATGGGTTTCCTCCGAGTGCTCCGGTTTCCCCCACAGTAAAAATCCTTGCGGTACTGGTGAATTGGGTTTGGCTATGTAGTGTATGAGTGCGTATGAATGTTTCCTAGAGATGGGTTGCAGCTGGAAGGGCATCCGCTGCGTAAAACATTTGCTGGATAAGTTGAATGTTCATTCCGCTGTGGCGACCCCAGATTACATTTTTACAAAGGATTAAGACGAAAAGAATAAATGAGTACATTTTGTCTTTAAACAGCTTAATAATAATCGTATTATTTGTTATATGATGGCTAATGGGCACCGCCATTGTTTCTATAAGGCAGAGGTGTCCAAACTCGATCCTGGAGGGCTGGTGTCCTGTAGATTTTAGCTCCAACTTGCCTCAACACACCTGCAAGGATGTTTCTAGAAAGCCTAGTAGGAGCTTGATTAGCTAGCCCAGGTGTGTCTGATTGGGGTTGGAACTAAACTGTGCGAAACACCGGCCCTCTGCAGGACTAAGTTTGGACATGCCGGCTATAAGGCATACATGTGATCGGAAATTAACAAGAAGTATTTATTTTATTTACAAATTACACATTAATAGGTATTTTATTAACAACTACCCCTACCTTAATTGTAAACCCAACCCTCACGGTAATGTAAATGTATTATGTGTAAATCTAAAATGTATTGTTTGTTGTACAGTGTCACTAAAATGATGCTATATTAAGGTGAGTATCCTCAGCTGTATCCCATCTGACTTTACCCTCTACTGAAAAGTGGTGAAGTCTAAATGGGATATAGCTTAATATACTTCTTCTACTTCGTTAACTTCCGATCGCAGCTGTATCCCTTCTAGCAACATCAGCAGAAGAGATCCAAGCTGCTGGATTTACGTTATGTTTTTTTCAGAATTTTCTTCTGAAATACATGAAGGTAAGCAACTGTTTATCTGGGAGATGAATTAAGATAAGATTCTAGTAACATTAACAGTGTGTATCTTAGGTGAACAAAGCACATTATCCAGTTATATTGAAAAATAACTTCCATAGACTCTCTACAGACACCTGTGTGTATTTTACAAACCTTAAATGCTATGTTTTACTTGTAGTTATGTCAATTTGAATGTCTGTAACCTAAAATAAATGTAATTTGTTTGCAAGCAATTGTGATTTATGACAAGCGCTGCACACATCTTTCTGTGTCTCAGTGTGC